AGATTTAAAAGCATTATGTTCCACCACCCCCCCCCCCCTTTTTTTTTCCCCTCCACATTTCTTTCACTGTTTCTGAAATGTTCCAGCCTGGACACGAGGAGAAAGGAAAATCAGGTCTCTGAGACAAAAGAAAGGGGGAGTAACAGATTACACAGCTCAGCATTCAGGAGGATTAATTCAGGTTATGGTTCTTTCCTTGAATAAAGAGGGAATATTCCAGAGGGAAGCAGAGAGTCTGCAGAGCCTCTTCCAGCTCCTCCTGCTGCATCTTCCCCTTCAGCTGCACCAAAGGCTCGTGCAGGGCCCGGCTGGCCCCAGGTGCTGCAGGAACAGATCACACCAGCTGTGAATTCCTGACCAGTCACCGGATGATACAAACTGCCAAAGCACTGAGCTCATGGGAATGTTTTCTTCCCAGAGAGACCTCACCCCAACCCTCTTTGGAAGGTTAGCTGCTGGATCTGCAACAATCCATCACCCTGCTCACAGAGTGAGTAAAGGTTGTTTGACCACTATCAGGAGCTTCATGTGTGACTCCAACTGTTCCCCAGCCCCAGCTGAGCCTCAGCTCCTGGCACATGGGCTTTCAGAGCTTCTTCCTAAGCTGTTCCCTGTGTGAGTTCCTACCTTCCAGACTCACTTTATTGAGGGACATCAGAGAACTCAGTTTCTTTGCACACACTGAGCCGTGGAAAGCCATGCCCAGCTTCCTTCTTTTCTTTCACAAAGCAAAACTAAGTCAAGCAAAAGAAGCACCTCCCACTCAACCACCCCAACTTCTTACAACATCTCGAAATTCCTTGGTGGGTATTCATCCAAAAATCGACCCGATTCAACCCAGTTTAACTTATCCATAGTGACAGGAACACAGCAGGAGACAGCACGGGCACAGACCCCGCTCCAAGCTCTTCAGAGTCATTACTTATTAAATACTAAGGAATAAAGTGTGCTGTAATGAGCATTTCCACTGCCCTTGGGCTGATTATCCTCGCTGCCAACTGGACACCGCGCACAGCTCAGGCTGAGACAGATGAAGCAGCCGGGCTCAGCGGTGCTGCCTGCTTCTCCTGGCCTATTTCAGCAGGAGGAAATGCCACATGCATCAATTATGAGGGGGAAAAAAGCTGGAAGTACCTACTAAGTGCTGTGGAGAGTCACAAATGAACTGTACTCCCTCCTAAAAGCTCTTACAGCACCTTCACTTCTTCAGTGGGCTTCAAATTGAGTGGGAAAATTTAAGTTGGATACGCAGAGGAAATTCTTCTCTGTGGGGGTGGTGAGGCCCAGAGGAGCAGTGGCTGCCCCTGGATTTGTCCAAGGCCAAGCTGGGCAGAGTTGGAGCAACCTGGGATAGTGGAAGGTGTCCCTGCCCTGACAGAGGGTGCAGCTGATGAGTTTTAATATCCCTTCCAACCCAAACCATCTTGGAATTCTATGATTCTAAAAGCAGAAAAATAGCTCCAATATTTATGTATCACATTGCAAAGGAGTTTGTGTCAGTGATTCAGTGGAGTCTCATAAAAACCTGACAGGAAGTGGCTTCTCTCTGACCTTTCCTGTGTGAAAGTCCTCTGCATCCAGCTGGAGCTGGGTGCTCTGGGATGGCAGCTGAGCCTTTTGTGGCTGACACCATCCCTCACACCTCTCTCTTCCCTGTCACACCTTGGGATATACAAATCCCTGTGATCAGCTCTCACCTCAACTGTTCCCATCCCTCTCTACCTCCCACAGCTGCAACAGCTCTGCAAGATCTTTCCTCACTGCTTCCAACCCTCCTCAAATCCTCCTCTTCTGCTTGGCTCTGGCTTTACAGGAGGGATCATGGAAAGCTGGGCTGTGCCTGATGCTGTTGGTGAGGTGGAGAAACTCCACCACCCCTGTGAGGTTCAGCCCCTTGAACCCCACTTTAACCTGCCCTGCTCCCACAGCTCCGACCTCACTCTGTGCCAAGGACCATCACAACACCTTGAGAACACTGAGGAGTCCTCACAAATAATGAATTTACAACTTCAAACTTCCTGTCCTCTTCTCCACAGAGACCTCCTGGATCTCAGCACGTACTGACAGCACACAAGAGCTTTGAAACATCCACAAATGGCAAAAATAACAGGAATAATCTGCCAGCTGGAAGCTGCAGCCCATTGTTTTCCCATCAGAGCTGCCTGGAACAACCCACTTGAGAAACACTTAAGGAACACGTGTTCAAACATCCACTGCAGGGCTGCAAGCAGTGATGGGACTCATCCATCAGGTGACAGTGACACTTTGGCTCCAGTGGGAAAGTTGTCTTGTAACTCCCTGCAGCAGCTTCATTAACCCACAATCAAGATGTTGCTCTAAATTTAAGCCAAGAGGAGTTGAAGGAGCCACAGACCTGCCCAGGACACAAAATTCATGGCCCCTGCTCAGAGGTGATGAGGAGAGGGGCTGTGGGGAGAGGAGGAGCAGTGCCCTGGGACTGGCACCTCCCAGGTACCCCTCACAGCTGGCATGGGTGTGGTGCAGCCCTGGCTGATCCATCCCCAGGAATTCCTCCAAGGGCACAACCAGGAGCTGTTTTGGTGGAAAGGTGCTTGAAAACAAAGCTTGACCAAGAGTGGAGGGTGTTCCAAGAGTGCCCAGGTGACACTGAAAGTGTCACAAATACAGGTCCCTGGTACTTCCACAGATGCTGATGGGCCTGGGTCTTTTAAAATGGGAAAAATACCTGGAAATACAACATTTCCCTCTGAGAGTGAAAACTTTGAGGGTCACGAAATTTTATTAATTGGTATAACTTCATCCTAAAAGAACAGCTGTTGGAAAATGATCCCTGGACTCAGCCATGCCTGCCTTGGACAAGTGATGAGAGGGAAAATCACCAGGGAGTCTGGAGGGGAGTGCGTGGCTGGCTGAGCTCTCAACCACAGGCACAGGAAGTGCTATTGTGATTTTTAGCTCTGCTTCATTTTCCTACCCACTGAAATTAAATTTTCTCCTGCCCAAGCCCAGTGACCACACGATGTGCCCAGCAGCCTTCCTAAAACCACTGGCATCATCAGATTAATGAGTCCTGTGCAGGCAGTGAACAAGGATGATTCATTATTGGCAGCAATGCAGCTGTACATGGATTTTTTTGGGGGTGAAAGAAATAAATAAGGTCCCTGAGTGAAAGGCGGGTGATGAAGTGTAGCCTGGCTTTAATCCCAGTGTAATTGCTGCCATCACTCCTAATTATTGATAAATATTTTTCTAATTGTGGAAATTAAACAATTAGACATCCTTCCTTCCCTCTTGGAAATCTAATCAGTTCAAAGTTCAGGATGCGGTCTGGCAACACATTCCACTTGTGGGCAGGGGAAAACAGGGCTTCTCCCAAAACTTCTTCCCAAAACCTTCTCCCAAAAGCCCCCCTTGCCACCAGGAGCATCCTGCCATGTCCCCTGGCATATCCTGGGGCTTTCCTAGGAACACCCCTCCATCCCTGTGATCCCAAGGGATCCCAGGGCCAGGCAGGCACAGAGTCATCCCTGCCAAGAGATTCAGGTCACAGATCCTGCCCCAGTGACACGTTTTCCTCCAGCCTGGAGAGGAGAGAGGCCGGGTAATGAGCAGGCGGGCAGAGCTCCTTGGAAGTTAATAACGGAGATTTACGGGGTGCTGGAACGCACAGAAGGAGGTCACGCTGTTAATTCTCCTGCTGCTGATCCCTCTGGATAAATCTACATCAGGAAATGAATTACCCAGAGAGGGGCTTTAAAAGGGATGGTTCCAATTCCTTGCTGAAGGAGAAGTGCTGCCTTTAACCCTGAGCCCCTCGTACCCACCGTGCCAAGTGCCAGCTCCCACCCTCAGCAGGATCTGGCTCCACAGCACCTCACAACTGGAGAGAGTGGGATGAAGACAATCCCTCCTGGAGATTTAAGCCATCTGGCAGGCTGTGTCCTCCTGCTCCTGGGCCCCCAGGTTGGCCACAGCACCCCCACGAAATATCATCATAAAGTCATTTTTCTGTTCTTCCCCATTTCTTGTCACACCTGATTAAATATCTGACAGTACCGACAGCCCAAATCCAGCACAATTCCATGCCACACCAATTTACCTTCCCAAATCTTACTGCAGATTTTTGTTTGACTTCTTGTGTATTTTATCCCCCTGTACACCCACACAGGCCAGTGGCTGTTCCACATCCAGACAAATCCCTGGAATCCACTTCCTTTCCCCCGTGCTCATCAGTGTGGGCTGCAATGAGCCTGATGGTTTCCATCCAAGTCAGACAGGATCCAGAGCTGACCCCGGGGCACTCAGCTCATCCAGCCCCGGGAGAGGGGACACCGCAGGACTCCAGGGAGCCACGGACAGGGTGGCAGCTGGGGGCACGTGTCCTGCGTGTCCCCCAGCCCTCCCCAGCTGCTCCGGGAGCCGCGGGAGGAGGGTCCCCAGGGAGTGACCGGAGCGGGGACAGCAGCCATCTGCTCCAGAGCCCGGGGTCTGCGTCTGGAGACAGCCGAGTGACAAACAAGGTTAATGTCCCACGAGCGGGAGCTGTCACTCTGCGTTAGGGCCCGGCTTTCGCTTTCCATGGCACAAGACTCCAGCACAGATCACCGGGGAGAGGCGCCGGGACACCGGGGCTGTGACGGAAGAGACCCCGGTGGGACCGTGGTGCTGGAAGGGCTCGTCCCTCCCGGCCGTCAGGATCCTGCCCGTGTACCCCGCCATGCCGGGGGCTGCTCGGTGGACACAGGAGGGCAGGCAGCGGAGCAGAGCCCCGGGAACCTCTCCACGGTGTCCTGGGTGTCGCGGGGAGCGGCGCCGTGCCAGCGACCCGAGCCGAGCCGCGGGTGTTCATTATTGAAGGCCGGGGCAGGGTTACCGGAGGGACGGGTGTCCTGTTTCTGCAAGCGCCTGCCCACAAAGCATCGACTGTCGCGGACACCTCTGTCCTTCCTTTGCAGCCACAACGTCACCAGGGCCCGGTGACCCACAGACACACACACCAGCACACGCCGGCCGCCGGCTCCAAAGTAAAAGCCAAATTTATTGTCGTATAAAGTAAGAACTAAAATGTCCCTTAACCCAAACGCAGATGGGTCGGGTGGTCCCGGCACCCCCCATGCTGCGGGCCTGGGGGGAGCAGCTTGGGGGGTTCAGTGGGGTCCCCCCCAGCCCCTTTTCTCCTCAGCAGGTTGTAGAGGGGGAAGGAGCTGCCGTGGGGCTGCGGGGACGCCCGGGTGGGAGCTGGGGCTGAGGTGTTTGTGCGTTGCAGAGCTCCTGCTCTGTGCTGGAATCAGGCACTTGGGGAAGGGTGGGCCCTGCTCCTGGCCAGCTCAGTCCCATGGCTCCCACCAGCACCGGGGCACGAGGGCAGGGGCAGCGGCTGGAGCTGCCACACCAGGGGCTGAGGCTGGGCCTGGCAGCAAGGCAGCTCTGGCTCGGCACACAGGAGGTTCCAGCAGCTTTGGTTGGTGCTCTTGGTGAGTTAAGGCAATTTAGCATTGGTTGGTTTAAAAAAAAGGCCAAAACCAGCAAAACCAGATGTCCCAGAGGCCAGACAGGCAGGTGGAAGAGCCTGGGGCTGCTCTGGTTTTGCTCTGAGTTGCCACTTGGACCCTGCATGCCCAAAAGTGGGCACTGACCCCTGTCTTTGCCAGCCCTGTGCCCAGCATCGCCTCCACCACTGCCACCAGGAACCTGCAGCCCAATACTGGAAGCATCAAGAAGGGACTTTGGGATATTTTAGGGGAGATTCAGGCTCCTGACAGCAGTGCAGGAGTGAGGAGAGGACAGAGGAGCCGTGGCAGCTCCCTCCATCCTGCTTCCCATCACAGTGACCGGTCAGCAGCTTGTGAGGTGGGAGCTCCCCTCCAGCAGTGACACGGGCAGATGGCCAAGGGTGCTGCCAACACCGAGAGCACCGAGGGGAAACCCACTCCCCCAACATCCCAGCAGGGCTGGACCCACCGCCAGGACCCCCAGCTGCCCCTCCCTCAGCACCCGCATCCCTTGGCAGCCCCAAAGGGCTCTGCCCCAGGGAGTTCATTCCCCGTTTGGTTCTCTCCGAGGGGAAAGGCCCTGGGTTTGCCCATCAGCGACCCCATGTCTGAGTGGGGACTCCCACGCCCCTTGCCCCACCTGGCCGGAGTGCCGGGAAAGGGGCAGGGAGATGAAAGGGAAGATGGGGCGGCACCAAGCGGTGTGTCCCCACCCCCTGCCCCACCTCTTGGTCCCTCCAGGGCCAGTGACCTGGCGGGCACTGGCCTTGCACCCGTACTGCTCCTCCCCTCTGCCCTCCCGGCAGGGATCCAGGCCCAGGCTGCCCTGGGCTGCCGTACCATCCCCTGGGCAGCCGAGGGGGAGCCGGGGAGAGAGAAAACACCGATTCCATTAATGCCCCAAGGGATCTCTGCAAAGGAAATATAAAAGTTTCAGATGAAGTCCAAATGTCCGAGTCAGTCAGAGCAATGGCCACATGCCAGGGGGATGCTCCGTGTTGCTCCAGTCCTGCAAAACTTGGGAGGAGCTGAGGCTCCTCCGTGCTCATGTCTGATATCCGTCCCTGACCTCAGCCACCAGAGCCAGGGACTCATCAGCCGTGGCTGCTGCTTCCAGGAGGAGAACAGAACAAATCCATGAGTATCTGTGCGATGCCAGTGGCTGGTGACAGTCCCTGGAGTGGCCGGTCCCCACGTCCTGCAGGGTGCTGTGCTCACACCACAGTGCTGATGGTGGATGACTCCTCCGACCGCCGCTGTTTGCTGGGCAGCGACTTGAGATACTCCAGGTGCCTCCGGGCGTCCTCCTGGTTCTGCCTGACGTAATAAACCAGGTAGGAAATCACCATGGCGAACCAGCCGAACATGGTGACCAGCATGGCGATGTCCGTGGTCTTCTTGTACACGTTGCAGAAGTCTGTGTCGGCAGTGAGCTGCAGGAAGGCTTTGCCCACGTGCTCCTCCTGCGTGGAGGAGTCGCACACGATGCCCCCCGAGGAGTCGGCCGCCAGCTCCACGGCACGGATCAGCTCCTGCAGCCGGCAGTCACACAGCCACGGGTTGTTGGACAGGTTCACCTTGGCCTTCAGGTTGCTAAAGGCGTCTTTGCTGACCGACACCAGCCTGTTGGAAGACAAATCCAGAGAGTGTAGGTGCTCTGCCAGGCCCTGGAAAGCCCCGGTTTCAATTCTGGCGATGGCATTGTGGGACAGATCCAGCTCCAGCAGGAGCGGCAGGTCCCGGAAGGCATCGCGAGGCAGGAAGGGGATTTGGTTGAAGTCCAGGTAGAGTTTGTTGGTGTCATTGGGGATGTCCCTGGGGACCTCGGTCAGCTGAGCGTTGCTGCAGCGAAAGGTCTTCAGCCCCTCCTCTTCTGAGGGGTAACAGCCCTTGGGGAAGGCAGCGGCTGGAGGGAGGCAGGAGCCCAGGAGGAGGAGGAGGAGGAGGAAGAGGCTCTGCAGGAGCAGTCCCATGGTGATGGGGCGGAGGAGAACCCCCTGTGCTGCAGTCATGGTGCTGCACTGCCTTCCTCACACCCACAGCGGCTTCAGCTGGACTTGGCACATCTGAGACAGGGACAACAAGGGGACAGTGTCAGGCTCGGGGAGACGGGGGCAGAACTGTCACTGTGCTGGCTGTGAGCACCACATCTGACCCTAGCCACGAAGCAGGGACAAGGATGGGGACCAGGACAGCCGTCATGGCTCACACTTTCCCCATGCCGGGCCATCACCTCGCCCTAGGCTCCTGCGTGGCAGGATCAGGCCCCAGGGGCTGGGCTCGTCTCCTGCGCCGGCAGCTGGGTTGTAACAACCGGAGGCGCTCGGGCTGAGCCAGAGGCGGGGTGAGCTCCCGCCCTGCCAAGGTCACGCTGCTCGCTGCTCGCAGGAGGCCGATGCATCCTGCGGCGCCCGGGGAACGCACCAGAGCGAGCCCCGGCTCCGGGCGAGCGGCCGCTGCAGGCGGCCCCCGGGGAATGCCACGGAAAACATGTGCAGGCAGCGGCTCAGCAGGTTCCTGCTCCCGGCTCCGCTCTCCGGGAGCGCCAGGGGCACACGCCAGGGTTTTCTCCTCCCGAGGGGATGGGCACAGGTGGGTGCTGGGTGCTGCCGTGCTCTGCCCGCTGCCACCCCACCGTGGGGTCGGGCTGCTCACACCACCCCGTAACCATGGGCCCCATCCAGCCCTTGATTCCGGAGGGGAAAAGCGTCAGCAGGAAAGAAACAAAAACAGAAAAAGGAAATTCACTGGAGCTGAGCGTGCAACGAGTTCCCAGGGTGGTGGCAGCAGATAAGGGCCGTGTCTGAGCGCTCCGAGCGCTGCCCGGCTCTCCCAGCCCTGGGTCCCACCGCGTCCAGTGGTCCCAGCCTGTCCCTGTGCCGGCCGTGGCAGAGCAGCTCTGGGGGCAGGATCCAGGTGCTCTCCCACCATCCCAAAATCGGAGCTACTGATGCTACAGGCACCTGTGTCAGCCGGTCGGGCAGAGCTCAGTGCTGCTGCGGGAGCCCCGAGCTCTGCCACCAGCAAAGCTGCCTCCGGTCCCTCTGCTCCCCGGAGCACCCCAACACCGCAAATCTGCCTCGGGGTGCTGCCCGGGGCTCCTCGGTGTGCTGCAGAGGTGGCCACCCAAGGGTGGTCCCCAGGCACAGGCAGGAGAGCACCCGAGTGCTGGGCACTGTCACACAGCCCTGCCACGCCGACACACCCCAAGGTCACACCTGTGCAGAGCTCAGCCTGCACTGCCGGAGCGCCGGGATCCAGGAGGGTCCTCAGAGGGAGCCAGAGCTCAGGGCACACCAGGGGCACCGGGACCCCGGAGCCCACACTGCACCAGCCCCCCAGGTCTTCCAGAGATAACCCGGGACAAACACAGCCCCTGGGCACCCTCTTCCCGCCGCCCGGGAAACCACCGGAATGAGCCGGGACCCGGTGTCCCGGGAGGGGGCTGCTTCGTCCACGGAACCGGGACACCCCTGCGGGCGGGATGCGGACCAGAAACGGCAGCGGCGACAGCCAGCCAGCCAGCCCCTGCCCCACCGCGGGGCTCCCACCCGCAGCAGGGCGCGGGGATCCCCAGCCCGACCCCGGGGGTGGCCGCCAGCGCCAGGAAATGCTGTTGAGGAGCCGGGGGCAATAAGGGCGCCAGGATCCTCCGTGAGCCCGGGGATGCCCGGGGATCCCCCCGGCCCCGCTTGGCACCGGGGGCGTCGCAGGCGAGGGAAGCCCCGGTGCTTCCCCGGGGGAAGCTCCGCTCTGCGCGGCGCTGCCGGCCCTCCCCTCCCCGCCTCCCGCCGCACCGGGGGTCCCGTTGCGGACTCACCTGCCTGCGCAGCCCCCGGCGGCGGAGCGGCCCCGCGCCGTGGGCGGGATCCTCCGCCCGGGCCTCCCCGGGGCTCCCCGCCCCCGACCCGCCCCGCCGGGGGGGCCGCGCAGCGCCGAGCACCCTCGGCCCCGCGCCCGAAGCCTTCCCAGCTTCCCAGAAGCGCTGCCCCGGCTCCTCAGAGCGGGAAGACAGCGGAGAGAGGCAGTGAGGAGCTGCCGCGACCCCCGAGCCGGGGGCAGCTGGGGCCGGGGCGTCCTGGGACACTCCATGGCCTCCCCCCACCGCGTTCCCGCCGAACTCCGTTGGGAGCCCGCCCGGTTCCGCTCGGCCTCCCGGTGCCCCCCGGTGCTGCCCCCGCAACCCCCCAGGAATCCCCTCATCCTCTCCCCAGCTGTTCGGAGAGAGCAGGACCCCCCTACTCCCACTCCGGCGGGGTCACGGTGCCCCCCCCGCCCCGCACCGGCATCGCTTACTCGGGGAAACCCGACCCGCGGCGGTGGCACCGGGCGGGGCGGGATGCAGGGGAACCGGAGTGGGTCCCCAGCCCAGCCCCCAGCTTTCCGGGCCGGGGGCCTCCGGGCTGGGCTGCGGCTCGGGGTCCCGCCGCCCCGGGGCACCGGCGAGTCAAACTCAGGACCATGGAGAGCGGCCGCCGTTACCGGGCCCCGGGGCCGCCGGGCGGGACGCGGCTCCCGCTGCCCCGGTCCCGATCTCCGCGGCGGGAGAGCCCTGCCCCGGGCACTGACGTTCTCCCGCTGCTGCGGGGGGATAAAACGTTTAGGAGGCGCCTGGCCTGGATCTCGCTTCAATTAGGAAAAGGGAACCTGACGGCAGCCAGGCACGGCCGCGGGCAGATCCTCCCCGGAGACCCCGCACTCCCCCGAGCCCCGCTGGCTCTGGCACCCTGGAAGTGCTCAAAAAACGTGTGGATGTGTACTTGGGGACATGGTTTAGTGCTGAAGGTGACAGTGCTTGCTTGTTGGTTGGAGTCGACGATCTTAGAGGTCTTTTTGATGTTTCCATGCCCGTAGCTAAGGCCAACGCCACCCGGTGCCGGGCTCACCGGGCAGGCTTGTCCCGGGACACCGGCAGGCACCGGCAGCCACAGCTGGTGCTGTTGAGCACTTCTCTGGCACGTCCCAGTTCGGCCGGGGAGCGGAGCAGCCCCGTGCTGCCCATCGCCATCCCCAGCGCCGCCGGGAGCTCCAGCAGGAGCAGGGACGGGCTCGTGTTGGGATGTGGCGGCTCCGGTGACACAGCCCCCCGGTGACACAGCCCCCCGGTGACACAGCCCCCCGGTGACAAGCAGCGGGACGAGGCCGAGGGGCCAAGGTGACACCCGGGTGCGTGGGGGACTGAGCTGGGACCCGGAGAGGCCGTGGGTGACCCCGGCAGCGGGAGCAGCCCCCGGGCTGCACCCCACGGGGGTCCCACCAGCACAAAACCTGCAGTGCAGCACGACCCACGCGGACCCTCCCCACATCAGGATGGCTAAAAATAGCTGGCACCGGCTTCTCGCTGCTGCCACGGAACTAAATATAACCGGCATCGACCGGCCAGCGGGACCGGCAGCAGGCAGAGCGGGAGCTGAGAACGGCCCGGCACTGGCAGGGCTGGGAGCGAGCGAGGCCTGGGAATCCACACGGGAACAGGCCCCCCTGAGCACCGGGGGGACGCGGGTGCAGCTGCCGGTGAGCGGATGGCGCCGGATCCCCCCGGGAACTCCCCGCCCCCGGTGCCGGTGTTCCCCGGGCGGGTGAACGCGGTGTGGGGAGCCCAGGGAGCGGGGTCGGGTCCCCCCCGCTCTCCACCGGCAGCGGCGGCTGCTGCATCACGGAGAGCGATGAATATTTATGGGCGGTTAAAAATAGCTGCTGCATTGTGCTTCCCCCTCACGTGCGGAGCCAGCGGGGTGCGGGGAAGCTGCTAAATTAGATGTCACCGCGCAGAGAGCTGCTCAGTCAGGCAGGAGCAGGATAAAAATAGAGCCTGCTGTGCGTGCGTGGATCTCCTGCAAAGCAGGAGCGGATCCCGTGGGATCCCCCGCCTCCGCACCGGCATCCCCGCACCGCGCCCTGCCAAGAGGGCACCGCAGCGGAGCCGGGCGGGGACAGCGCGGTTCCACCGGGTGGCAATCGGTGGCTTTTCGTCTGCTTTACCCGCCATGTGCGTCTCTCCGAGCCCAAAGGAGGCAGACACTGCTGAGCTCTGGCTCCGGCGGTGACCCTGTGCCCTGGCAGCAGCACGGTGCCAGCGTGTGACACCCGGGCAGCCTGCGGGGTCTCTGCGCTCTCGCCGTGCCCTGGAGCCGAGGCAGGACGGACGGACAGGGTCAGGACACACAGCTCAGCGTGGAGGCGCGGGGGCACTCAGGGAACCTCGATATCGCTGTGATTCCACCTGAGCCAACACCAAATCCCAGCGTGGGCTGTGCCGAGCAAAATGTCTGTGCCAGCTCGGGGGGCAGCGCCAGGGGCAGCCGGGAGCAGCTCGCTCGGGCCCCGGGGTGCCAGGGGCTCTGCTCGGCTCCGGGCAGGGGGTTTGCTGCCCCTCGGCTGCTGGAAGAGCCGGCAGCAGGCGCTCACAGGGCCCTGCACAGATGGCTGCGGCACCCGTGGGCCGTGCCAGCCCCACGCGATGAGCTTTGATGGTTGTGCAAACAAAAGCGGAGCCAGATGGTCTCCCCCGCGCTCCAGCGCTGGAATCCCGCGCTCGCTCCCAGCCCCGACCTTGGCTGGGTGTCCTGCGGCGCTGCCGGCCTGCCCGGGCTGTCTGCACAATGCTGCTGCTGGGCTTTTGATGCTATCATGGAATCAGAGTAGTTTGGGTGGGAAGGGACTTTAAAAACCCCGCAGTCCCACCCCATGCCACGGGCAGGGACACATCCCAGTTCCCCAGATCGCTCCAAGCCCTGCCCAGCCTGGCCTCGCGCACTTCCAGGGATGGGGCAGCCACAGCTCCGGCTGGAAGCTCCCCCAGCCCCGGATTTCCCCTGGGAGAAGCGGCAGGGGGTGCAGCCCACCCTCCCAGGGCAGCCGGGTCTGGGGTCCGCTGTGAGCGGAGCGGGGCTCGCTGCATCCCCCGCCGCCCTTCCCGGAGCCGCTCCCGCCGGTTCCCGTGGCGGCTCCGCCTCCGCCGCCGCTGCCGGACTACAGCTCCCGGCGTGCCGCGGCGGGGCGGGCCGAGGGGCCGCCGGGAGCGCACGGGAGAGCACCGGGAGCGCCCGCCGAGCCGAGCCGAGCCGGGCCGGGCCGGAGCGGGCGGGAGCGGTGAGTGCGGGCCGGGGGCTCTGCGCTCCCCGGGGGCTCTGCGGCCGAGCCCCGCGGCGGGGCCGGGGGAAGGTGCCTCGCACGGGCCCGGCCCGAAAGGAAAACAGCCCAAAAGAGAGAAGCGGGTGCTGGGATGGAGCCGGGGAGCGGCGGGGTGGGAGCGGGGGTCCCGGGTGGCAGTGCGGGTCTCCACGGAGCGGAGCCGGGCCGGGAGCCCACGGCCTCCCGGGGCACCGTCCCGTCCCGGGAAAACGGGGAGGAAAGTGGGGTCTGGGGTTCCACGCGAGCCCGGAGGAGCCCAGCCTCGGCCTTCTCTTGGTGTCCAAGATCTCCCGTTAAATCCACCGGGAAAGGCCGAGGCCCCGCGGCGGCTCACGCGTGTCCTCGTCCCCGTGTCCCCCGTGTCCTCTCCGGGGCTCTGGCAGCCCCGGGCCCCCCGAGGAGGAACCGGGCAGCGCTGGGGCTCAGACAGGTCCAGCACGGCCCCGGGCTGCAGGGACACGGAGCGCTGTGTTCCCAGTGTCACCTCTCACCCAGCCCAGCCCAGCAGCGTCCCCCATGTCCTCCGCTGCACAGAAGGGTTTAAGGGATTTGTTTGGGAGGTGGCAGCTGTTGCTGCCGGAGATTGGGATCTGTGATCCGTGGGATCATCGTCACCTGCAGGCTGGGAACACTCGAGATCAAGATGAGCACCCGAGCCCTCCTTCCCTCCCCAGCCCAGTGAAGATCCTGCAGCAGGGTGCCAGGGTTGGAGCATGACCCTGAAACCCCTGGGGAAGGGTGCCAGCCCTGCCAAATCATAGGATCGTTTATTTAGGGTGGAAAAGGCCTTTAAGATCATCAAATCCAGGCGTTAAGCAAGGGAACAGGAAGAGATGGTGGTCACACTCCACTGGGGACAAAGGTGAGCCAGGAGCTGGCACTGGACAGGGAGCAGGACAGGCAGGATGAGGGCTCAGCTGTGCCCTTTGCCACTGGCCACAGCTCTGACTTTTCCCCTCCTTGGATGGCCACTGTCCAATGTCAGCACAGCCCTGACCTTCACCCTCAGCCTGGTGCAACATTCAGGATTTTCTGTTCCAAAAAAAAAAAGTGGGAAAGCAGAGCCTGGCAGGAACTGCTCGGGGAAGGGGGGCTGGAGTCCTTCACAGGGTGGCTGTGTCTTGTTGTCCTGCAGGTGAACAAATCCTGGTGTGGAATTAGAAAGCAAACATGGGATGTGGGATGGGGGTAGGGACAGAGCTCTGGGAGCTCCTGTGCCCTCAGCCAAGCTTGTGCAATCCAAAATTTAGGAGAGCTGGGCCAAGGCAGAGCTGGTGAAATATTTAAGGTGGGGAAGGACAGAGTTGGAGACATGGAATCACCCTCATTGCAGCAGTGAGTGCTTGGTGTGTGTATGTCCTGCAAGAATGAATTAACCTCTCATGTGTTCCAGCATCCCACCCCTCTAATCCTTAATTTCACAAGGAAGGGAAACTGAGGCACAGAAGGAGAAATCCTTCACATACAGCTTCCAAGTGGGCCCTTTCCCACCCAGTTGTGGGTCTGCAACTGCCCTCATTTGCAGAGGAGACCAAATCCAAGCTGCTCCTTAGCTTTGGAAGTTGTGGTTGGAAATTCCACAGCACCAGCCATGTGCACCTCTGGCTGCAGGGAGCTTCCACAGCCCTTGGATAACTCAGGAAAGGTTCCTGGAGAGAAGGCTTTTAACTGTTGATGAAACTAGATTTTAAGGGCTCCAGTGAGAGCAAGGATCACTTTCTGTGGGCAGTCCCTCCTCCTGCACCCCTCTGTTGCTCCTAGCCCCAGCCCTGTGGTTCCTCCTGCTGCACAGCTGGAATCCCACAGACACAGCTCTCTGTGGAGCATCCAGCTGTTCCTCACGCCTGTCTCCAGCATCCTCCAGACTAAACAATCTCATTTCCTTCCAGCTGTCCTTGCAGGTCATGTTTTTCCTACACCTCTGTTCATTTTCTCCAGCTCCTCCCAGGACTGGACAGTGTTCACCCAACATCCAGGAGAACCATTTCCCATGTCTGGCACTCAGCACTCCTGTTTACACATTCCGTAGGGTGATTTTCTTTTTGTTGTTGTAACAATCTGACCCTTTTTGACTCATTTATCCTTTGCCCCAACCTTCTGAGAGCCCTTGGGAATTGCAGCAGTTTTAGGACAGAGCTGCTCCCTCTGCCAGGGGTGAAATGTTGAACTCTGGCTCTCAGTCCTGTTTCCAAATCAAACTTTGGGCTTTTCTCTGGAATATCCATAAGTTGGTGACCTGGGAGTTGGGCAACAAAGAGTGAGCAGCCCACTGACCTGCAGCCACTTTCCTGGAAACAAAATCTCCAGGTATGAGCCCCTGATGGAGTGAGGTGAGGATGTGCAGCAACAGCTGCCTGTGTGCATGGGAGAGGTTTGGGAGTTACTTGGAGCATTCCAAGAGCTGTGGAGTGGAGGCTGGCTGTGAGTCCCAGCCCTGGGCAGGAGTGGGGATGGTGCCAGCTCCTGAGCCAAGGCAGGCCCAGCACTGTGAGGGAGCTGGGAACAGCTGGCAGTGAGGAGAGTGTGATGTTGGATCTGGCTCGAGCTCGCCTCCGGAGAGCTGGAGGGAACAGCAACACAGCTTCCAGCTGTGGGAAGCAAGAGCAAAGGCACAAGGCCAGACATCAGGAAACAGCCTTCACTGTGGGGTGCTGTGGCCAAGGAGGATGAACTGGATCATCTCATCAAGCTCCTCTTCCGTGGGACACAGGGATGATTTTACAGAAGAGTTTCCCTGGTGTTGGTGTGAAGACATTCAGCTTTACAGTGGGTTTAGTTTGTGCTGTTTTCTGTAATCCCTGGATATCAGTGAGCCAGAGCTCCCCTGCTGCCACTGGCACTGTGTCAGTCCAGAAAGCCACTTGATACCTTCACTGTCTCAGAGGCACCACTCCAAGGACTTGCTCTGAGAGGGTGATACTCTCTTGCTTCCTCTCCCTCCTGGCATTGTCCAGAAAGCCATCTTTGTGCTCCTCCTACATGGCAGTCGTTCTTTCCAGGTAGGGGAAGGGCTGACTCCTCCACAGCTCTTCCTCCTGAACATCCTCCCAAGGCACTTTGAGCTGTTATCTCTCCCTTTTTGCGTTCCTCAAGAAGTATCTCATTCCTTCCCTGGGGGGCAATTTTTTTTTAGTCCTCTTTTTTTCCCCTCTGTAAGTATTAAATCTGAAGGCAAAACACGTGAGCCAGAGCAGGAGACCAGCAAACCTCCTGAGCTGTGCAGAACCATGTTAATTTAGTTAAATTAATTAGGAGATCTGTTGATACAGAGCCTTTCCTCTGGAAATGCTCTGTTCCCTTCCCAAGTTTAAGTCATGCTGACTCCATAAACATGCAGGAAGCTTCCTGTGCTGTGTGTTTCCATGATTAACACTGTGATGAGATTTAAAAGTGCTTAAAAGTATTGGTTTGAGTTTTGTCAGGCAATCGTGGGATTGAACCTCGACACCTCAGCTTCAGGAAAGCATCTCACATCACAAGAAGCTTCTGTCACAGACAAGCTTCCCACACATAATTCCCAAATCTCAACCACTCCCGGAGTCAGCGACGTCAGCTCTAAGAATGGCAATAGCGAGGGGCAGAGGAGGGAACTGACTGGGGATTTTTATAGCAAACAGCACATTTTGGCTTTGCTTGCCAACCAGCCTGTGCTGAGCCCCGCCGAGCAGTTTGGGTCCGGGCTCTGACCTCGGTGTTTGTGCTGCAGGGGCTGCTGCCAGCCAGGAGGGGCAGGATGAACGTGGGCACGGCGCACAGCGAGGTGAACCCCAACACGCGGGTGATGAACAGCCGTGGCATCTGGCTGTCCTACGTGCTGGGCATCGGGCTGCTGCACGTCGTGCTGCTCAGCATCCCCTTCTTCAGTGTCCCCGTGGTCTGGACTCTCACCAACATCATCCACAACCTGGTAAGGGAGCGGCGTGGCCCGGGACACACATAGGGAGCCTTGGTACAGCTGTTGCTCTGAGCAATGTGCTGAGATTCCTGGTGAAATAATTCCTTTGTGTTTCTAAAGATGAGTTGCTCAATCTCCGGTCCTCAGCTTGTACTGGTGCCTCTGGGTCATGGATTTAAATCCAGCCCAGGTACAGGTGAGGCAGCAACACCTGGTGAGGCTGCTCAGAGGGGACGTGGATTCATTCCCTGCAGGGCAAGTCCTTCATTGTGTCCCCTTCCAAAAGAAATCTGTGACAGACCCCATCACTGGGGTTGGTAAAACCTGAATTGGCCTCGTGAGAGTTAAGAAAAAACAAGATTAACCCCCAGATTTTGTTCTGCCTAAAGTGAAAGATTAGTCCAGGAACTGATTCTTCTCTCTGAAGATCAAATCCCCACATAGGTCCCCTTGGGCACAGGGAACAAAAAACTTCAGGGATGGAGGAACTGATTGTGTATCTTTTATTCTAAATAATATTTCAGCCTGGGAATATTCCAGAGATAAAAATTACAGGGATTGAGGACCCTCATGATAAGCTATTACTAGTGGGGGATAAAAACCTCCACAAACGCCCAAACTGGAGCTGCTCAGGAGATAAAACCTCCACAAACCCTCAAACTGGAGCTGCTCAGGAGATAAAAACAACCACAAAGCCCCAAACTGGAACTGCTCAGCACTCAGCTCACGAGCTTCTGGCTTCTCACCCATCTTCCCTGGCAGCTTTAGTTTCTGGGGACATAAAGGAATTTAAAGGCCAGGAGTGGCTGTACTTGGGAGCTGTGTTTGGAATGTTTGTCTGTGACTCGTGCTCCCCTGGTAATCAGGGGGTGACAGACCTTCTCGCAGACATTTTCGGGGAGCCTTCAGGCAGCAGGCAGGCGCTAATCTCCCGATCGCAGAGATCCCAGGGCTGTAATCTTGCCACCGCTCCTTGGCTCACACCCAGAGCCGAGCGAGAGCTCTGACGTGGAGCAGCCGAGCTGGCCCGGCCTCTCCCAGCTCTCCTTTCCTCCCTTCCCCGGCCGCTCGGGCTTTTCCAGCAGCTCCACATCCCTCTAGTGGAACGGCGCGGGGGTGCAAGCACTGCTCTGGGTCCAGGGTTTTGGGGTGCAGGGCCCCGTGTGCCTCACGTGTGTGTCCTGCAGAGCATGTACATCTTCCTGCACACCGTGAAGGGAACCCCCTTCGAGACCCCGGACCAGGGCAAGGCCCGGCTGCTCACGCACTGGGAGCAGATGGATTATGGAGTCCAGTTCACCGCGTCCCGCAAGTTCCTCACCATCATGCCCATCGTCCTGTGAGTATTCTGGGCTGGCTGAGCCACCTCGTGTCCCAGCACCCGTCAGTGTTGTGTCCTGGGAGTTAAACACACGCAATGCCACAGCTCAGTTTGCCTCTCCCTCTGTTGCCCCCTTCCCTCTGCAGGTATTTTCTAACCAGCTTTTACACCAAGTACGACCGGATACACTTCATCATCAACACCATCTCCCTCATGAGCGTCCTGATCCCCAAACTGCCTCAGCTCCACGGAGTGAGGATCTTTGGCATCAACAAGTACTGAGCAGCGCGGCCGGAGCGGATGGCGGAGCAGCGGGGCCCGGGGGGCTCCTTCCCTCCAGCCCCTTTTCCTCCCCACACACAGACTGGGATGTGGTTTGGCAGTGGCTGTTTAGAGGCAGATCCCAACAGACACATTCCGCATGCTGGATCCTCGTGCCCAATAAATCCAAACCAGCTCCAGAGTAGAGTTTAGCGCGGAGCAGGACGTGCGACACCGGATTTCTCTTCTCCCAGGGTCATCAATAGATGCAAAACCACTGAGACTTTGAGGTACAACAAGGATGAATTCTGGGAAGAGTCTCATCTATTCCAGACATTGAATGACGAGGATAGGGATGAGGGGAAAAGCTTTTAGTGCTGGTACTATTGCTGTGGTAAATGCACTTTAAAATACATTTCCCTTCCTGAAGCTGGGTGCTTTGAGCAGAATGTGAGGGAAATCCAAAGGGATACAGCCAGACTTTCCCAGGACTGGATGGTTTTGGGGTCTGATTTCCAGTTTTAGGTGGGAAGTGGGAGGGGGAAGTGAACGACAGATTTTTATTTTGCAATCTTTGACACCACTGAGAAGGGAAGTTCTTTTCCTAAAAAGAGCACAGGAAGAAGTGACCTGCAGTTGGACAAAGCTTTTGATTTCCTACATCACCATCCGTGTGGTCCAGGGAAAAGGTGGATAGACCCAAAATCATGCTTATTACTTTCAGTTTGTACCCAAATCTGCCCAGGTAACTCCTCTCCCCACCCCAAACTGCTGTTTTTAAGTGCACAGGGGCTCAGTGGGCATTTGGATCAAGGGCTGGGGGCAGGTGATTTAATGACTGACACCAAAGGCCATGGAGCTCCTTGGAGCATGGACATGGACAGGTGTGGGAGAGGCTGACTGGGCAGGTACAGGAGGAGGGCTGATTGCTCTAATCAAGCAGGCAGCCATCCTTGAGTTGGATTTTTCTCCTCACTTCAGCTCCTTGGTTGTTTAAGTGCGTGTGACTGGGATTTGCCAGTTCTGCATGGACTCAAGGGTTGGATTTCTGGCTTAGCTGGAATCTGTCCCTCAGCTTCCATGCCCAAGGGCTGTGTGAGCAGCAGCACCAGCAGCAGATGAATTGACCAGCAAAGGAGTCAATTTGCCACTGATAGTAGATCCTGTCACAGAGGAACAAAATCAAGCCTTTTTCCTCTAAAATCACCACCTAAATAAAGCAGGCTTAGGTTTCCTGGCTGAGACAGCTTTTACTGTTTTACTGAAAATCAGAATGACCTGATTTGCCTTTGGGTTGTGTCCCAGATGGAATGGGCTTTCCCTCACTCTTCCCCTGTAACCCCATGAAAACCTATATTTTTGTTGTCTTAGTGCTTATATCGTTTCACCTTTTTTGACAATTGTATAAATCTTTTAAATCTGCATTTTTTTTGTCCTTGCAGTAGCAAATCCAGCTTTAGAGGCCGTGGTGGAGAGTGTTGAGGATTTGGATGGTCTGAGCATAGGACATGGAAGGGGGAATTTTTAGATCTCTTACTACTCCATGCATAATTTTAGCCAAATTGCTTCACTTCTCTCTCAGACTTCCTTTGGGACTGCTACAGGGAAGGGAAAATATGGAGTGTACCTCAAAGGGCTGCTGGAATTCAGGGAGAATCATCCCCTAATGTGCTTGGAAAGTGGAAATCCGAGTGAAAATGAAGTTTTCAAGCAGGTAGAAGGAGAAGAGAATCTGGCTGGAGACCCCAGAGAATTGACAGATGTGCAATTTCCTTGATGGGCAGTTTAAACCTTCAAACCTAGGATAGAAGAGCTGCTGCTTTAGCTGAGGTACTCTCTACCCTAATCGGCTCTTTAAGCTACTAGACAATGATAATTGTGGTAAAAATAGAGATATTTCATCAATCAGCTGGGAAATGACACAGACATGGGCAGTATTCCTGCAGGAGGGGCAGGTCCTGGCAGGGTGCCTGAGGCTGGAGCTGAAATTCTGATTGTGGTGCTGAACAGACCTGAGTGTCTGCCCAGACACCACTTCCATCTCCAGGGGAAATGAAAGAAAACTAATTATTGTCATAGAAAACATGGGGAAAACCATCTTTTTTGTAACAGAAACAGCCTCTAGATGCTTTCAGACATGACTTCTCACAGACAGACATATGCTGGGTATTTCTAAGCATATGCACATCACAGATTTGTAAATTTAGAATAATTATCAATTGAAAGGATCAGCTTTTTTATGAGATTCAGCAATAACACAGCTGTGGGTTTGAACACTTGTGTGGTCACTGACACTATCTGACCCTGTTTCCTTAAATTAAAGATCAGCTGGGACTCAGAATGGGATTATGAACTTCTCAAACAAGCAGGTTCTAAAGCATAAAGCCCCAAAGTTGTAATTAAGACTCTGCTTAGCAACAAAAGTAAGTATTTTTTGATTTCTCTCCTTCACACAAATGATCAAAACAGCCAATGGCAGAGTCATGACATGACACTCTTCACAACACAGGTGTGACATTTTTCCATGGAATAACTGACATTAATTAGGACTCAGTTAATCCAGTCAAGGGAAATGTAAAGGGAAATATAAGTAGTATGGAAAGAAGCAAGTTGAAGAAAGATTTCATGTTCTATTGTGGTGAGTTAAGTATTTATATATAATTAATAAGTATTTGAACAATTGCACATGGGGTAGCATCTTCCTTAAGATCCCAACTTAAGGGTAGGTGTCAGGATCAATCAAAAATCAAAAGCAGGAAGTCAGTTGTAATTAAACCACCATTTCTGGGTGTACCTGAGGCAGTCTGAAGTGAAAGGACGGCATGAGCAGCTTGAGGGGTGGTCAGACATGTCCTGGCAGGGGACAGATCAAGGGTGAATCCACACTGTGGGAGGAGAAAGGAAACATTACCAGATGTGGTGCTGCAGGGAGGAGATAACTGATTGTTACTGATTTTAAATGGGATTCTGATCACACCACACTTGACAGATTTCCTCTCACACTGGTCCTGTATCATAATCAGGACAAGTTCCTAACCTGGAGAGATCAAATCTCCTGTGATGGAAAAACAACCCCTGGTAAGTTATTTTAAGCTTTTCTGTTTTGGTGTGCAATTAAAGAGTAAAACTTCTGAAAGGCTGGAAGCCTTCCCAAGAACTGGCAGCAGCCTGTCCCATCTTGTACTTGGCAAAGCCCCTCAGCCACTGTCAGCACCATGCAGCCCCTGCTCCAGGACACTCAGCAAACCAGCAAGTCCTCCCAGCCTGCTGCTCCTGAATCAGGGATCCTGACCTGGGAGTCCTTTCACAGAGCTACCAGGCTGGCAAACAGTCCTAACCTTTGCAGGAAAAAGCCTATAAAATTAAAATAAATGGAGGGCTACTTATTCTCTTTTATGTTTGAATCACTGTTCAACCTTGGGTTGTTTTTAGAAGCTCGGTACTGGCCCTCAAGGAGGGGACAGCAGTGGGTTAACACATTAATATTCCTTCTTGTGACTTATGTTGCTTTATCATTGCCTAGAATATCTTTTAAGCATGTGAGTGTTGGTGTGTCCATACCCTCCTTGGATCAGTTAAATCAGCTGAATTAGTAGGGAGGGTTTTTAAAGGAATGTTCTGTACAAAGTTTTAGGGGTTTTTTCCCATAGCCTTCTTTTTGCTGTGGATACAGGAGTCTCATGTAGAGAACTTTCTAAAATAAAGTGTGAATATTTTTATTACTCCTTTGTACAGTATTCTAAGAGAGACTAATAAAAGTGAAGTATTCAGGTAAAAACTTGTGCTTGAGTCCTGGAATCTTCACATGGATGGCTTTTGCTGTCAAACAAGCATGGCAATGGACCCAGGAACATGGAATGGCTCGGGTTGGAAGGCACCTCAAGGCTCCAGGGCCATCCCCACCCCCTGCCATGGGCAGGGACACCTTCCAGTAGCCCACGTTGCTCCAAGAATATCCAACCTGCCCTTGGACACTCCCAGGGATGGGGCAGCCTCAGCTTCTCTGGGTAACCTGTTCTGGAGCCACAGCACCCTCACAGAGAGGAATTTCTTGCCAATATCCCCTCCTGAGTTCATTTTTTCATCTGTCAAAGAAGAGCAGCGTTACCTGGCTCAATAAGGTTGAATCATGCAATGATGGAATGATTTGGCTTGAAGGGACCTTAAAGCCATTGAGTCCCACCTGCTGCCAGGGGCAGGGACACATTCCTGTCCAATCTGGTCTGGGACAATTCCAGCAGTGGACTTAGATCTCCTACATCTCTACAAGTTCCAGTAACAGCCCCTGTAACAGACTCTGCTCAGGGAGTAAAAAGGAAGTGTTACGTAAGCAACGGCCGATTTGTAGAAGCGGAACACGGGTGATGAGGATGTAAAATTGCTGAAGTGACCTCACAGCTGGGAACAGCTCCTGATAAGCTGCAGGGTACTGCCAGGTGTCTTCCAGCACGGATCACATCTAACACTGCCCCTGCCCAGGTGCTGCTTCAGGGAGCCCCCGTTAGCAAGGTAAGAGAAATCAATTTACTCTTTGCTCTGGAGTTGTGGTGGTGCGAGCTTCTGTGCGATTCACGGCTCCTGTGTTTCGCAAACACTTCCACACCTCTGAGCAGAAAGGAAGACAGAGATTTTCTCCCCAGCCCTGCTGCTCTCCAGAGGCCACATCACCTCAGCAGCCCCACGGTCTGCTCTGCACGCCCCCCACCCCACAAACAGGCAAGTGCATTATCCCAGGGCTTTGGGTAGGGGAGAGGGTTGGTGCCAGCTCTCTCTTTAACTGCTCTTGTTTAGCTTTTCTTCTCTTCTTGGAGACCTTTACGGGAATGAGACCTGAACGGGCTACTAACCTTGAGCATACAAGGCTATTTGTCTTTGGAGTGGTTTATATTGAAACAGGGTCACATTAGATGGGATATAGGGAAGCAATCCCTCTGAGGATGCTGAGGGACCCAGAACAGGTTGCCCAGATAAGCTATGGATGCCCCATCCATGGAAGTGTCTATAACCAGGTTGGACAGGGCTTGCAGCAGCCTGGGAGACTAGAAGGTGTACCTGACCATGACAGGGAGGGGAATGGGAGGAGCCTTAAGGTCCCTTCCCATCAAAACCAATCTGGATTGCCCAATTTCCCCTCCCCAGCTCCTTCCCATAAAACACCAGAAAGCTGAAACTGAAACCTTTTGATAAAAACAAGCTGTCTCAGAAAAGAAACAGGGCTTCTGGCTTCTCTCAGAAACATTTCTTCCTGGCTCTCAAACACCAGCTCTCCCCTGCAGACCACCAAGGCCTGCCCAATGAGGCTAGGCTGGGCAGATGCCTCTCTATTTTGGGGGACATTTGTCTCCAAAATCAGCACCCTGAGGGTCTGCCAGCTGTGCTCTCTCTGCACAATCACTGAGGCTCAACAGCAAAGGGGGACAAGGCCAAAAAAGCCACAGCTCCTGCTGCTTCCTCTTAAAAGACTCCCTGAAACAACCCTGTGAAACTTGTGTCCTTGGACAGTGAGGGAGGTTTTGAGTCATTATTTTGAAATCTTCTTAATCGTTAAAGTCATTTGTTACAATGTTCTCCTATTATTTCAAGTAATTCAGCTTAGCTTGTGTTCCCTCTTTCCCAAGGCACAAATCCACTTGGCTTTGCTTGAAAACCTCAGCCACAGCAGAATGTTTAAAAAACTCACCAAATTCATTGTAAATCAAATGGATCCATGCAAAGAATGGGTGCCTGTTGAAAGCATCGCAGACAATGAGCACTTCAGGCCTCTCTATCTCCTGAAAAAAAAGAGCAAACCAAAAACCGTGTTTCACCCAGCTCCCTACTACCAGCAGACAGGATTCACACTGGAGGATGTGCTGCTGCCTGGAGAAGATGGTAAAAGCACAGGTAAACCCCAAATTTATCAATAGGAATTTATCAAATACCATAGGTAATGTTTTTGAACCATTTGTAGCTGAACTCTACCAAGTTCCAGCTTTCTTGTGTATCATATACTTACAGTGCTGCTGTGTAGTGCTGCTTAAGATAATGTATGGAATTATTTCAGAGTCCATCTATCCAGAATGCGGCCAATTTACTCTCACAAAAGTCAGCACTGACCAAGCTGATGGAGGTCTCAGCATTTCTTTTGACCCTACAAATGTAGAGCTGAAAGGAAAGGCCTCCTTGTCCAAAGAGCTTTCCATTATGCCACAGAAGAAGAGCATATCACTGGAATCACTGGAGGCACTGAGAAAAGAAAGGTAAGGAATGACAAAGGGAGCACACACACTCCAGTCATCTCCCTCCAGCCCACACCAGGTTAGCAATGGGTTTTCATCTGCCAAAAACCAAGATTAAAACCTTAGGGCATGAACTTCCCCTAAGTAGGCCAGGTTAGACAGGAAAAGGAGTGACAAGTTCCCCATGAGCCTCCTCTTCTACAGGCTTATCCCCCCCAGATTCCTCAGCTGCTCCTGGTGCTCCAAACCTTCCTAACCTTTTCCTCTTTCAGGGAAATGAACATGGATCATTCCTTCATCCGACAGCTACAGAGAACAGGCATCAAGCTGCACATGGTCACTGAAATCCTCGAGGCCTCAGAGGAGGCTGTCTACAAGGAATCCACCAAGGCAGACGGGGGCTTCAAGGCCAAATTTTATGCCACACTCTGTGCACAGGTTTGGCTTCTCCCTCCTTGCTTCCCCAACACCTGCACCCAGCTGCTCTAACTGGTTGTTTTCGTTATGCAGAGCAACAGAGAGAACAACCAAAGCATAGTGATACCCAAGGGCTGCACGCTGGCCTTCAGGACCGTCCCACTACACATTAGAGATGGAGCATGGGGTAAGCAACTTCCAGAAATTACCAAGTTCTCCATTCTAGAAGAGGAAGAACATTTTATGAAGCACCACTTGCCTCCAGAGGTATCTTCAGCTTGTCTGCAGATAGGAAGAGGCAGTGTGAGAGACAGAAATCACCTGGGGGAGGTCAGACAACCCATGCAAGTTCAAAGATGCTCTTTGGGGAGGGGTCAGTAAAGAAAGGAAAGAAGGAAGCCTCAGATCCACATTTCAGGAGCTGCAGAGCTCCTGGTGAGAAATGGCACAGAGAGCAGAGTTTTGGTGTTTCTTTTCCTTTCCTACTCAGAAGAGCCAGGGAGGAAGCTGAGTTGGTGACCACCACTGGAAAGGCTGGTACACAAAACTGTTGTTTTATCTTCTTTTAGGTATGGATTATTTCCCAGCAGAAACTGTGAGAAAGCAAGCTTATGTAGCTGATGGTAAGGAATGTATTTTACTGCTTCCACATGCACAACTTTTGGCTGCTTTGGCTAAGATGGAATCTCCCAGCATAAAACAAACCACCAGGAGAGATGCATTTGTCTCTTCCCTGAGACATCACAACTGCCCAAACCCCATATTGCTTCAAATGAGTCTTTCTAGGTTTAGAGCTGCCAGTGAACTCCTAGAATTCAGTGACAGATTAGGACTCCTTCTGGTTTGCAGGTCCCTCAGCAGGAAAATTAGGACAAGTGATGACAGAAGTCCGATATTCCTGCCGAATTTTCCCTGAGTTGTCTCCTGACCTGCAGCTCATCATCTTCAACACCATCACAGCTGTGATGAGAGACAAGAGCCTCCTTCAAGAGCTCAGCCACAAAGTAAGTGAAGCTTTTCTTACTGCCACCATTTCTAAATACAGACACATCCCAGACCACGCCTCTTGTCCCACAAGTCACCTGCCCTGTCACACAACCATCCACCCAAAATTCCCTCTCTCAGCACATCTCCCTGCTCAGGACAAGCAGCAGCCGCTTCCCTCAAATCCTGACTTTTCTTTTCCTTGCTCCCCACAGATGGAAGAACTTTCTGAGCAAAATGATGGTTATCAGCTGGAAACTGAGAGCCCAGACTTAAAGGAACTGTTCAGCACCTTGCAGCATTCCCCAAGAGATCATCTGCTGGCAGAAGGAATCACCTACGTCCTTGATTTATCAGCTGGAAACTGAGAGCCCAGACTTAAAGGAACTGTTCAGCACCTTGCAGCATTCCCCAAGAGATCATCTCCTTCTGCTGGCAGAAGGAATCACCTACATCCTTGACGCTTTGCATGGTGAGCCTTTGGGGCTTCAAGAGGGAAACTGAGGCAGGGATGACTCCCACTCCTGCCATTCCCTCCTGCCTTCCTCTCATACTCCTCCTCCTCCTCAAGTGCAATCTACATCTGAGTCCCATGAGGGGAGAGGAGAGAAATCCCCTCAGCACCCACATCCAGGGCTCCCTGCTCCCTCAAAGTCCCCCTCCCATCCTCTTCATTCTTTCCTATCCTGCTCACCAGTTCCATACCACCACTAAGCTTGGTGAGAGGTTTTGGATCCAAACCCAGTTTATTCCTGCAGAGTTAACGGAGGATCAGCTGCTGCTGCTGCTGGAATCCTTGGAAAGGAAGATTGTGTCCCAACAGCTGAACCTGGTGAGAACACAAATCGCGCTTGGCTCCTTTCAAGGGGAGGCAGGGGATATGTTAATTCTAGCAACATCTCCATAGTGATGTCACAAGCTGACAACTGATTGAAATTCTGATTTTGCTTTTTTTGTTGTTGCTGTGAAGGTTGAAAACCTCCTGAAACATGACCTGGATAAGGGGAAGGAGCCATTCTTTGTGGATGCCAGGGTGCTCTTCCCACAGGAGGAGGAACAGAGGTTAACCATTGCCCTGGTGGAGCTGAGTGGAGTGCAGCTCCAGGAAGATGGATCAGTTATCCCTAGGGATAAACCCTTTGAGGCTGTGGCAGCCCTGTTTGTGGCCCTGTACACCCTTAACTTCCTGAGTGGTTCCAGGTAGGGTGTACCTGGCCCTGCCAGGGAATCTCTCTACAAGGTTTTGTGAAATCTCTACCGACAAGATTTTTCTCTCCCAATATAATCCTTGTGAATAATCAAGGCTGATTTGGCCGGCAAAAGGAAATTTAAGGCAGGACAATTCATTATGGGTACTAAAGGTTGGATATCAAAGTGGATTTGTTTCTTTGGCACCTCCCTGGTCCCAGCACTGCCATCATCCCTGAGATGTTCAATGGACACATTCAGCACTTTAGAGCAAGCATACTCTTATTATCACTCTATAAATAAAGAGGACCTTCTTGCTACACAACTGGGTGTTCTCAAAGTAAACTTCTTAATTTTGTGTAGGTTTTGGTTACACAGCATATCTGACAAGCTCGGGGTGCTATATGAAAAATACAGGCACTTAGCCCTGGGGGGAAGTCAGAGTGTCCCTCAGGTTGTGGGGCCCTGGGAGGGACTCTGGAGGCCTGCAGCAAGGGGCAGCACTGCTCACCTGTGTGGGCACTGATGGCTCTGGGAGAACCTCCAGCAGCAGGGGCCAGGCTCTGCCTTTCAACAACTTCGAGGGGAGCCTGGTTCCAACCTGGAACCGTCATGAGACCCTTTGGTCCCAGTCCCAGACCAGACCCCTCACTCCAGCTTCAACCTGGCCCCTCAAGGGACCCCTGCTCCCAGCCCCGGCTCCCCTCCTCACCGGATTCCCCAACCCAGCCCCTCACAGGATCCCCAAGTCCACAAGGGACCCTTTGCGGGGTCCCCGGTCCAGCCCGACCCCACATGGACCTCAAGGGACCCCTCACAGAATTCCCGGTGTCAGTCCGGCCCCACACGGGACCCCTCACGGAATCCCCGATCCCAGCGCGTCCCCTCAAGGGATCCTCCCCGTCACAGACAAGCACCTCACGGGAACCTTCATGGGATCCCCGAGCTGGTCCCAGCGTGGCCCCTCACGGGACGCTTCACGGGATCCCCCCTCACAGACAATCCCCTCACGGGATCCTACACGGGATCCCCCCTCACAGACAAGCCCCTCACGGGACCCTTCATGGGATCCCCCGCCAGACAAGCCTCTCACGGGACCCTTCACGGGATCCCCCTCACAGACAAGCCCCTCATGGGACCCTACACGGGATCCCCGACCTGATCCCAGCCCAGCCCCTCACGGGATCCTACACGGGACCCCCCCTCACGGGACCCCTCACGGGATCCCCCCTCACAGACAAGCCCCTCATGGGACCCTTCACGGGATCCCCCCTCACAGACAAGCCCCTCACGGGATCCCCCCTCACAGACAAGCCCCTCACGGGACCCTTCACGGGATCCCCGCTCACAGACAAGCCCCTCACGGGATCCCCCCTCACATCCCCCTCACAGACAAGCCCCTCATGGGACCCTTCACGGAATCCCCCTCACAGACAAGCCCCTCATGGGACCCTACACGGGATCCCCCATCACAGACAAGCCCCTCACGGGATCCTACACGGGACCCCTCACGGGATCCCCCCTCACGGAATCCTACACGGGATCCCCGCTCACAGACAAGCCCCTCATGGGACCCTTCACGGGACTCCCCCTCACAGACAAGCCCCTCACGGGACCCTACACGGGACCCTTCACGGGACTCCCCCTCACAGACAAGCCCCTCACGGGACCTCAGCGAAGACTCGCCCGCGCCCCCAAAAGGCGGGAACAGCTCTGCACCCAGCGGAGACGCCCGAAAGCTCTACGGAGATTCCCGAAAGAGAGAGGCGAAAGAAGCCGATCGATGCCGGAACCTTCCGAGAGTGCTCGGCCAAAGCACCCGAAAATACGGGCGAAAATCCACGAGTGAAGACGGAAACACCCGAGAGCCTCACGGAACTCCACGAGCGGGCTCGACGGAACCCCACGAGCGCCGCCCGAGCTGCCCGAAAGCGCGGCGGAACAACCCGAGCGGTGGCGGAAACGGCCGAGCGGGAGGCGGAAGGCGGCGATCGTGTGCGGCTCGTCGCTCGGCTGGTCGCGCCTGGCGGCCCGTTGTGCAGTGTCACGCCATGAAGCAGGACGGCGCGTCCCGCCGCCGCGGCGACAAGGCCAAGGCACCCCCGGAGGGACCCCCGCCCGCGCCCCCCGACGTCGAGATGCACGAGGAGGCGGCGCCGGCGGCCCCCGAGGCGGCCGGAGAGCGGCAGCCGCAGCGGGAGCTGGACGCGATCACGCTGGAGGGTGAGGGGGGGGTGTTGGGATCAGTGAGGGGGCTCTGAGGGGAAGAGAAATGCGAGCTCAGTGTGGGGGGACACTCTGGGGAAGGGGAGGTGTGTTTGGGGGGGTGTCGCTGTGGGGAAAGGGATTTAGGGAGGGGAATGGAGGCAGGAGCTGTGTTTTCTGTGGGGGAGACACTCTGGAGGGCAGTGTGTGAGGGAGGGGAAGGGGAGGTCGGTTTTGGGGCAGTCGCTGAAGAATGGAGGGTGGAATTGGGGCGGTGTGTGAGGGAGAGGAAGGCGAGGTTGGTTTTGGGGCAGTCACTGAAGAATGGAGGGTGGAATTGGGGCAGTGTGTGAGGGAGAGGAAGGGGAGGTTGGTTTTGGGGCAGTCACTGAAGAATGGAGGGTGGAATTGCAGAAGGGAATTGGGGCAGTGAGAGTGAGGGTGTCCCTCTGTGGGGAACAGGGGGGCTGCTCTGGTGGGACCCCACGGGGGTGAGGAGGGAGAAAACACCTCAAGGGCCTCCCCAGCCCCTTGCTCCAAGCAGGGAGGGCAGGTGGGGACAGCAGGGGCAGAGGGAGCTGAGGGCAGCAGGACGGGGCACGGGCACAGCCCTGGCCGTGCTCCGGGGTGCTGCTGGCAGAGCATTTGGGCTGAGGCTGTCCCTGTGCCCCCGCAGACATCAAGGAGCACGTGAAGCAGCTGGAGAAGGCGGTGTCGGGGAAGGAGCCCCGCTACGTCCTGAGGGCTCTGCGGGCTCTGCCCTCCACCTCGCGCCGCCTCAACCCCAACGTGCTGCACAAGGCCATCCACGGCTTCTTCACCTCCAACTGCGCCGTCAGGGACTTCCTGCTGGCGTTCCTGGAGGAGGTAGGGACACTGCTGCCCTGGTGACACCCCCCAGCAGAGCTGCCCAGCTCTCTGGCCTTCCCCAGGCATTTTCCTGGGGAAAGCTCTGAGAAGATCAGAGAAAAGAATGGGAAACAATTCTTATCTCCACTTGTTGTACCTGTTGTGGAATGGGTTATGGAAGTTGTTTACCAAAGGGTGATTTCTTGATTGGACACTGGTGATGGTGTTTAAAGAGACTGACCAGTTAAGTCTTTAAAGTGATGAGGTTCTTAACATGTATAGTGTAATATTGTAGAAGAAAATAATTGATCAATGCTAATTATTACCCAGCTGGGAGCCTGCAACAACACTGCCCCAGCTCAGGGGTCCCAGCACAGGAAGGATGTGGAGGTGTAGGAGTGAATCCAGAGGATATTCAAAGGGATGGAGCAGCTCTAGGAGTGAATCCAGAGGATATTCAAAGGGATGGAGCAGCTCTAGGAGTAAATCCAGAGGGTATTCAAAGGGATGGAGCAGCTCAGCTGTGAGGAAGGACAGGGAGAACTGGGATTGTTCAGCCTGAAGAAGGGAAGGTTTAGGGTGACCTAATTGTGGCCTCCCAGTATCTGAAGAAGCAGGAAAGATGGAGAGGGATTGTTTACAAGGGCTTGGAGAGACAGGACAAGGGGAATGGCTTTCCACTGACAGAGGGCAGGATTAGATGGGATACTGGCCAGAAATTCTTCCCTGTGAGGGCAGTGAAGCACCAGAATGGATTTCCCAGGAAAGTTGTGGCTGCCCCATCCCTGGAAGTGTCCATGGCTGGGTTGGACAAGGCTTGGAGCAGCCTGGTTTAGTGGAAGGTGTCCCTGCCCATGGCAGGGTAGGGGTGAACTTGAAGGCTCCTCCAACCCAAAAAAGCTTGGAATTCCATGATTCTTTCCCTCTCCAGGGAGCCTCTGGGGTGGGGTTTGGGGACATTGGGGATGAGCAGTGAGCACATGTGAGCAGGGACAGGTCCCTGCAGTCCTGGGCTGGCTCCTGTCACACCTGGAGCAGAGCTGTCTCCACACAGGGACAGTGATCCCAAATTTCTCTCTCCCCTCAGTCCATGGACACAGAGGCTGAGCTGCAGTTTCGCCCACGGACGGGGAAAGCAGCCTCAGCCCCTCTCCTGCCAGAGGTGGAGGCCTACCTGCAGCTGCTGCTCGTCATCTACCTGATGAACAGCAAGAGGTACCCCGAGGTGAGACCTGAGCTGCCCCCTGGCTCAGCTGTGGTTGTTCCCCACATCCCGGGTGGTCTGTGCCCCTCCTGGGATCAGTGCCCCTGCTCTGAGCTCCCTTGCTGTCCCTCAGGCTCAGAAGGTGTCCGATGACCTGATGCAGAAGATCAGCTCCCAGAACCGCCGGGCCCTGGACCTGGTGGTGGCCAAGTGCTACTATTACCACTCCCGCATCTACGAGTTCCTCAACAAACTCGACGTGGTCCGGAGGTGGGATGGCTCCCGTGGGGGGCTCTCCCTGAGCTTCATCCCCTCCCTGTTTTCCTCCCTCTTCCCTGACTCCCTGTCCCACCCCGCAGCTTCCTGCACGCCCGGCTCCGCACGGCCACGCTGCGCCACGACGCCGACGGCCAGGCCACGCTGCTGAACCTGCTCCTGAGGAATTACCTCCACTACAACCTCTACGACCAGGCCGAGAAACTCGTCTCCAAATCCGTGTTCCCCGAGCAGGCCAACAACAACGAGTGGGCTCGGTACCTGTACTACACAGGTGAGCGAGGCTCGGTGCCTGCCCTGCCTCCTGGCCCCTCCGGCTCCTCAGAGAACCCCTGTGCTCAGCTGGAGGTGGGGCTTCCAGGCAGGATGTGGAGCCCCATCCGTGTAGGTCAGGTTGGATTCACTGGGTGGCTTTCCCCACCCGCCCCGTGTGGGCGCAGGGCGGATCAAGGCCATCCAGCTGGAGTACTCCGAGGCACGGCGCACCATGACCAACGCCCTGCGCAAGGCCCCGCAGCACACGGCCGTGGGCTTCAAGCAGACGGTGAGTGAGGAGGGGGCAGGACCCCCTGGGGTGGGCCTGAGACCCCTCGGGGTGGGGATCTCACGGGGCTTGGATGTGGGAGCTACTGGGATGTCAGGCGCCATGGAGTTTGGTTTGGGAGCTCCCAGGTTTGGGAACTCCCGGGTTTGGGACCTTCTGGAATGTTAGGCGCTATGGAATTTGGTTTGGGAACTCAGGTTTGGGACCTTGTGGGATGTCAGGCCCCATGGAATTTGGGAACTCGCAGGTTTGGGAGCTTCTGGGATGTCAGGTGCTATGCAGTTTGGTTTGGCACCTCCCAGGTTTGGGACCTTCTGGGATGTCAGGCGTCATGGAGTTTGGTTTGGGAGCTCCCAGGTTTGGGACCTCCTGGGATGTCAGGCGCTATGGAATTTGGTTTGGGAACTCCCAGGTTTGAGAACTCCCAGGTTTGGGACCTTCTGGGATGTCAGGCCCCATGGAATTTGGGAACTTGCAGGTTTGGGAGCTTCTGGGATGTCAGGCCCCATGGAATTTGGTTTGGGAACTCCCAGGTTTGAGAACTCCCAGGTTTGGGACCTTCTGGGATGTCAGGCGTCATGGAGTTTGGTTTGGGAGCTCCCAGGTTTGGGAACTCCCGGGTTTGGGACCTTCTGGAATGTTAGGCGCTATGGAATTTGGTTTGGGAACTCCCAGGTTTGAGAACTCCCAGGTTTGGGACCTTCTGGGATGTCAGGCCCCATGGAATTTGGTTTGGGATCTCCCAGTTTTAGGACCTCCTGGGATGTCAGGCCCCAAGGAGTCAGGTCCCCTGGGATTTGGGACTTCCCATGGTCAGGTTCAGGACTCCCCAAGGTTGGGCTCCATGGGGATGGTGCTGGGACCTCCCAGGCCTGGCACCTTCCAGGATGAGATCTGGGCTCCTATTGGGATAGGTTTGGGACCTCCCAGGGTGTTGGGCCCTGCAGGGATGACAGGTGCAGGACCTCCTAGGTTTGGAACTTCAAGGACAAATCTGTGACCTTCCAGGCCCCACAGGGACAGGAATGTGGGATCTCCTGGAGTTTTGTGCCCCACAGGGATGGGTGCAAGACCTGTTGGAGGGCACAGGGACAGGGATGGTTTCAGGCCCCATGGGGACTCACTCAGCCTTGCTCTGCCCCAGGTGCACAAGCTGCTCATCGTGGTGGAGCTGCTCCTCGGGGAGATCCCGGACAGGCTCCAGTTCCGGCAGCCCTCGCTCAAGCGCTCGCTCATGCCCTACTTCCTGCTGACCCAGGGTATGGCTGCCCACCCCTCCTGTCCTTCCTGCAGGGTCAGGGGATCATGGAACATCCTGAGCGGGAAGGGACCCAGTGGGAATTCTCTCCCCTTGATGGGAGCTGGATGCAGATGCCGCTTGGGAAGGAGGAGAAGGAGGAAGTCAGCCAGCCCTGACTCGCTTTCCCCAGCCTTTCTCCTTCCCCCATTCCACCCTGCTTCCCTCCAGCCGTCAGGACGGGCAACCTGGCCAAGTTCAACCAAGTCCTTGACCAGTTTGGGGACAAGTTCCAGGCCGATGGCACCTACACCCTGATCATTCGGCTGAGGCACAACGTCATCAAGACAGGTAGGAGGGTATTGGGGACCCCCACCAGGCTGGGCAGGCCTGGGGTCTGCATCCCCTTCCCTTCTCCCTGCAGGTGTCCGCATGATCAGCCTCTCCTACTCCCGCATCTCCCTGGCTGACATCGCCCAGAAGCTGCAGCTGGACAGCCCCGAGGACGCCGAGTTCATCGTTGCCAAGGTACCAGCACAGGGAATCCCATCCCTGTGGGATCCCAGGCTGCCCAGAGCCCCCCACCCCGCCCCGTTCCCCCTCACCCCTCCCTGCAGCACCGCTGGGTTTGGGTTGAGGCTCCTCCAGGGACGCTCAGGGCGCCACGTGCCCGCTGTGTGTGAGCCCCTGGGGACACCCCGTGCCCTGCCCCGTGCCCGGGCTCGCAGGCCATCCGCGACGGCGTCATCGAGGCCAGCATCAACCACGAGAAGGGCTACGTGCAGTCCAAGGAGATGATCGACATCTACTCCACGCGGGAGCCCCAGCTGGCCTTCCACCAGCGCATCTCCTTCTGCCTCGACATCCACAACATGTCCGTCAAGGTGAGCTCAGCCTGTCCCCACGTCCCTGCTGGGGACAGCAGGGCGTGGCTCAGGGCTGGCTCAGCTCTGAGCTCCTCCTCCTCCTCTTCTTTTTCTCCAGGCCATGAGGTTCCCACCCAAATCTTACAACAAGGACTTGGAATCTGCAGAGGTGAGATCCCTGCAGCCACCACGGCCACGGGAAGGATGTGGCTCCTGTCCCCACCCGCCACCAAGCTCGGCCTTTGCTTTCCAGGAGCGCCGGGAGCGTGAGCAGCAGGACCTGGAGTTTGCCAAGGAGATGGCAGAGGACGATGACGACGGTTTCCCGTGACCCTGGGCCCTGGCTGTACTTTTTTATTTGTCCCTTGGACAGATGGTGGCTGAGCAGGGCCCTCCGTCCCCCCCAGACCCCCTTTTATAAATCCCTGCATGTCTGTACTGTGGGAGGGGACACGGGGGGTTCCCTGGGCCCACACCCCCGACCACCTGCACTTGTGGTGGGACCCCCTCCCCAATAAACATCCTTGAAAGGATCCCTGTGGTGACATCGGAGCCGGTGCTGGGGGGCTGCGAGGGGAGTGGGGCTGGAGGGAGCAGGAGTGGGGTCTCCACTGGTGCCCTCCCAGCTCCCACAACAGCAACGGGGTCAAACTTTGTTAAACTTCAATTATGACTTTTAAAATAAAAGATGGAAAAACACCAGCCTGGGCGGCTCCTGCTGTGGGTTTGTTGGGATGGGGAAGGGCCGTGGGGCTGGTTTGGGGTCTCTGCTCTCTCCCTGGGGCTGGGCACCAGAGATGGGACTGGATCTGGTCAGGCCATCCTGGGGGACTGGAGCTTTGTCTCAGTGGTGCTGGGAGTGGCCCCAGCAGCTCCAGGATGGTATCCCAGGAGGATTCCATTGGGAAAGGCACAGAGCCCCCTTTGTGCCCCACCAGCCCTGGGGGTGATGGGGACAGGGGCCATGCAGCCACTCCAGGTGGGTCCCATCAGCAGCTGGGATGAGTTCTCTGAGAAAATCTGGGAATCTCCCAGGCACGCCCATGCCGGGATGGCAGCCAGGGCTGCAGGTCAAGAGCGGGGCTGTCCCAGCCCATTCCCGCTCTGGGGGCTCTGGGGAACACCAGAGAAGGCAAGAGCCCAGCCAGGGGGTCTGGCTCTGGAGACACAGGGACATCCCGGTCTGGTGGCAGATGTCAGGAAGGGGCTGAGGGTGCCCAGGTTGGGCCCTGGGAAGAGGAAGGGTGACCATGAGGCCAAAACAGAGCGGGGTGGGTGCCTGGAACAGGCCCTGGACCGAGCAGCTCCAGCCCCATGGTGATGGGGGGGGTTTGCTGGGCCACCTCCTTCCCCCAACACCCCCAGTTTCGGATTTGAAACCACTTCCTTCCTTGGAAAGCTGACAGGGCCTTTGGGCACTGATTCAACCCCCCCACGCCCCCAGCACAATTCCTGAAAGCACCATCCTGCTGAGAGGGCAGATCCGCTCTGGGGGGGTCCCGTGGGTGCTCAGACTGAGGGGACTGAGCCCCTCACTGGCTCTCCCTGGCTCCAGGGTGGGGACAGGCACAGCTCAGGGGGGCTGTTTCTCCCAAAAATCCCATGAACAGTCTCTGCTGCCAAGGTCCTCTCATGCATCCAGAGGGCAGAACGTTTAGTGCTGCCAGGTTTGAAGGCAGGTCAGCAATAGAGTTCACACCTGGCTGTGCCAGGAAGGCTCTGCTTGGTACTCGTGGATTGGCTGCAGCTGATGAAGGTTTATTTCCCAGCTGGAGAAAGGAACTTCCAGGACTTCCAGCTTCTGGGACTGGTGCTGTGGCTGTACCCCACAAACTGAACCCCACAAACTGAACCCCACAAACTGAACCCCACAAACTGTACCCCACAAACTGTACCCCACAAACTACCCCACTGGGTGTGTGGCCCATCCCAGTGCCCACCAAGAGACCAGGTTTTCTGTCCCCATCCCTGTCCCCATCCCAGTCCACACAGCCTCCAGGAGGGCAGCTGTGGCACCCAGCCAGGGGTCAGGGGCGCAGAATGAGCCTCTCCATCCCAGTGCTGCCCTGGGGTCACCCTGTCCGGGGCTGAGAGGGGGGACGGTGCCTCCCGTGCCCCGGCCGGCCCGTGCCGGGCAGGAACCGGCCAGCTGGCACCGGGCCAGCAGATCCTGGAAGGGCTTGCGGGAACCAGCACGAGCCAAAATTCCCTCGTCGACGCAACGGGGCCGGGAGCCGCCAGCCCTTGCCGGGGGCTGCCCTGGAAGTCTCCTCCCTGTAGGGGCAGAGGGGGGCTTGGCCCCTCGCGGGCGGGGTCAGCCCGATGTGGCCGGTGCTTGGTGCTGGACATGGTGACACCGGGCACAACCCGGCCCCACAGTGCCCAGCAGGGCAGGATCGGCCCCGTGGTGCTGCCCTGTGGTGCCACAGCCCTGGGCACGTGCCTGGACCGGGTCTCACCTTGGCCACCTCCAGCCGGTGCCACCACCGTGAAGGTCACACCTCCAGCAGCCACCCTGATGTCTGTGGCAGCTGACAGGGGGTGCCCACGTGGGCTGGGCATGGGGACAACCTCACAGTGACAGCAGCAGCGAGAAGCCACCATCCCCGACGCAAGCCGCCTGCGAGTGACCCTGCGAGTGACCCTGCACATGACCCCGCTGTGCTGGGCACTGGCCCACCTGGCCAGCGCGGTGAGAGCCCGGCGAGCAGGTTAATGAGTCACCAAGGCCCCACCTGCCCTGTCCCGGCACCCGCCGCCGTGCCTGGGCTCCGCCGGGCGGCTGCGGCCACTCCGAGGGGCACCGCTGCCCACCGGGCCCGGGAAAGCCCCGGGCTGCGGCCGCGGCCGAGCACCCGCTTCTGGAGATTTGCATGCCGTGATTAAGGCAGTGAAGCAATCGCGCTGTTGCCTCATCGGTGAGAATCCCCGAGGCCCGTGCGCTATAAATGCCACCCGATCAATGAGCAGAGCCGGGCAGGAGCGAGAGGAGCCGGGCCGGGCTGGGCAGGGCCGCGCTGCGCAGAGGAGGAGACACCGAGCCGGGCACCCACCATGTGCTTCCTCAGCCGTGAGTAGCCAGCACCCATGCAGCTCCCACTGCACCCGCTTCCCCTACTGCTCCCAAACCACCCCTAAAACCCACTTTGCCCACAGAACCCACTGCCCCCACAACCACAGCACCCACTGTTCCCACTGCCCCCAAACCACCCCTAAAACCCACTTTGCCCATATGACCACTACCCCCAAACCACCCCTAAAACCCACTTTTCCCACTGCCCCCACTGCACCCAGAGCACCCATAAACCCACCCTACCTGCACCCACACATCCAGAGCTGCTGCCCTTGGCACTGGTCGGATGCTGGAGCTCTGCTCCCTCTCCCCTTTTGGGGTCTCTGCCCCTTCCCCAGGCCACGCTGCTGCTGCTGCCACCATCCCCAGGGTGGTCCTGGTTGCTGAGCCCAGTCCGGCTGAGGGGTCGGGGCTCCGTGGGTTGGACGCTGAGCCGCTGTCCCCGCAGGTGGGCTGGCACTGCTGCTGGCTGTGCTGCTGTGGGCACCGTGGAGGGTTCTGCATGGGGCACCACTGACCGAGCTCTCAGGGGACCAGGACTTCCAGCTCTTCCTGCAGAGGAACCTCGAGTTCACCCGCAAGATCCGCGGGGACGTGGCTGCGCTGCAGCGCGTGGTGGTGAGTCCCGCTCGCTGCGGAGGGGGGATGGCAGCCACTGTGAGGTCACAGATAAGGTGACCCCCTCCCTGCCCTTATCGGCACCGCAGGGCCAGGAGCCAGCAGTGTCCCCTGCACTGCCCAAAGCTCAGCCCCGGGGTGTTGGGGCACCCACCGGGGACACGTGGTGACCTTGCTGGCTCACCTCTGTCCCTATTGCACCGGGTCCACTCCATCCCCTCCCTCCTCCTCCACAGGGTCCCACAGCCCAGGGATGGGATGCTGGGGGGTCCTGGTGTGTCGGGGTCCTCTGGTGTCCTCACCCTGTCCCCTTTGTCCGCAGTGTGACACCCTCCAGCTGTGCAAGGAGGACGAGCTGCAGCTGCTGCGGCAGGACCTGGACATCGCACAGGCGCCGCTGGAGCAGTGTCACCGCCGCTCCTTCCAGGCAGTGAGTGCAGGCAGCCACCCCTGCCACGAGCTGCTCAGCTCTGTCACGGCTCGGGGCACCCCAGAGCCTCCGTGTCTTGGTGGCCAGGCCATGCCCAGCCCCTCTGACCACGCCATGCCCACCACAGGAGACCTGCTTCAGCCAGATCCGAGCCGGGCTCCGCGTCTACCACGGCTCCCTGGCCACCATCCGAGCCCTGCTGCCCGGGCACGCGGGGCTGGTGGAGACCCTGCAGCTGGACATGGCCAACCTGTCCTCCAACATCCAGCAGCAGGTGAGGGGACACAGGGGGGACTTTGTGGGGTGGTAAAGCAGGTGCTGTATCCCAAGGGAGGGGTGGGCACGGTGGGGGCTGCATTCACAGGGATGGATGGGCGTGGTGAGGACTGCGTTCAAAGGGTTGGATGGGCATGGCAGGGGCTGCATTCACAGGGATGGGTGGGCATGGCAGGGTTGTATTCACAAGGATGAGTGGGCACAGTAGGAGCTGCATGCCCAGGAGGGGCACACTGGGACAGGGGGGCACCTCCAGGCCTGGAGCTGATGCCTCTGCCTCTGCCTGGCTGCAGATGGAGGACCTGGGCCTGGCCACGGTGACGTACCCCACAGAGAACCAGGACCCCGTCCCCACCTTCTCCTCCCACTTCCACCACCAAGTTGGCGGCTTCTTCATCCTGGCCAACTTCCAGCGGTTCCTGGAGACGGCGTACCGGGCACTGCGGCACCTCACCAGCCTCTGACCCCTGCTTGTGGATGTCCCACCCGAGGGGCATCCCGGGAGCACCCCGTTTCCTGCTTATTTAATATTTATGGCTATTTAATATTTATCTGTCTGGGGATGCTCCCCCGGCCGCGGCCCCAGGCAGGCGCCAGGGGATCCCGCGGAGGATCCGTGCACAGGTACCTGTGCAGCATCACCCTTGTTTAATATTTAAACACAAGCGTATCTCTGCTACGAGGTTCTGGAGCTGGGCTGAGCCCCCACAGCTGCTGCTGGCACTGCCTGTGCCTCAGTTTCCCCACGGCTCACACTGCTGGGGCTGCTGTATCATCCCACGGGAAAACACCTTCATCCCAGGATGAGGATGCTCCAGAGCAGCATCTCCCTGTCTGGGCTGCAGCCTGCAGGGACACATCTGATGGGTGTTATTTCTACTAATTAATATTTATTAGCTGTTAAGGAGGGAAGATGGAAGAACCATAGGGATACAGCAGCCTCATGAGGATTTTTCGGGGAGCCTCAGCACTTTGGGGAGCTGCATCTCTGCTCTGTCCCCCTTCCCTGCTAAAATCAGAGTACTTATTGCAGTTTAACTTATTTGTGCCTGTCCATGGCCGGAAAGAGCCACTTGGACACATTCCCATCCTCCTGAGCCTGACGCAGCCCCAGTCCCGTGGTTGTGTGGGAGCTCTGGGCGTGGGGGGTTTTGTACTGTATTTATTGCTGCAGCTGGGTGAGCCCCAAGAAACACCCGCTTTTTTTTTCTATGTGATAAAAATGGAAATAAACTCTATTTTTGCACTCTCTCTCTCTCTGTTCCGCTGTCTCCTGCCTGCGTGGGAGGGAGGCAGAGTGGCCAGGGTGTGGGGACACAGGGACAGAGACACGGGGGATGAGGGAATGGGATTTTGGGGCACCCTGCAGCTGCTGCTGTCAGCTCCGAAAGATGAAACGCAGCCCCCCCAGAGCCCCCACCCCACTGAGCGGGCTGAGGGTCAGGAGGTGCTGTGGGATGGCCACTTCCTCCCACGCCTGGCAGGGCTGCTTGGGCAAGAGCCGATTCCTAGAAAGCTCCGGAAGCCGCCCGCGCTGGCAGCGCCCACCGAGGGCACGGGCACCATGCCCAGAGCTGGTTTGTGGGCTCATCCTGGGGCTGGTGGCACTGGGGGTCCCCAACCAGCTTTCTGCTGCTGCTGTGACACGGGAAATCTGCCCAGGGACGTGCCATGGTGGGAGGAGGCTTTCAGCGGATGGATAAAGGGGCAGCCCCAATGTGGCTGAGCAATGCCAGGAGTGCCCTGGGCATCTCCCCTGCCCTAGAAAGCTCCTAAGGGCACCCCCAGCCTCTCCCCAATGGGTGTTTGCCCACCCTGGGCTGTCCCAGCTTCACCAGCCCCATTTCCTGCCACCGGGCCCACGCTCCCGTCCCATGACCACCAGCATCCCTCACCACACTCATCCCAGCCACGCAGGGACACAGCCAGTGCTGGGGGTGCCAGGGCTCCCAGTTCCTGCCTCCCAGCTCCAGCCCTGGGCAGGGGCTGGCACAGGCTGGAGCCCCACGGTCACAAACTGCCCGGGGATGCCCTCACCCACGGGGAGGGCACTTCCCTCCTTCCTCCCCCCGCCCCACGGGTGCTTACAGAAAATCCTCTTCTCCTGCTCCAGCCCTTTCCTGTAAGGGGAAGCGCCGGTGCCAATGCCAGGCATGGGGCTGCCTTGGCAAATATTGACAGAGCTGGGAAGGCCACGCCAGGCCCTGCTCTTTGCTCTGGGCTAACGGTAAAGGGCCGCCCCTGGGCCAGCAGAGGAGCCCGGGCGGGTCAGTGCCAGCTCAGGGTGGGACTCACCCAGTGTCAGGCTCCGCGAGCCCAGCCCGGTGTGTGCCACGGCTCATTATCCACCCCACCCACCCTGCAGCTGCTCCTGGCTGGGCTGGATGGGGAGCAGGGGCAGGAGCTGGGGCCAGCAGGAAGGGGAGGATGCTGTGTGAGTGAGGGCCAAGGACCAGCAACACCCACAGTGCATGGGGGTCTCTCCTTCCAGCAAAGCCTGGGGGCTGCCAGGAGCTGAGCTCATCCTGGGATCAGATGGGGTCAGCCCAGCCCTGAGCCCTGAGTCACTGTCCCACTGCCTCTTCCCTGCCCAGCAGCACTCCAGGATCCCCCCTGTGCCCCATTTCCCTTCAGAGCCTCCCAAAACAGGGCTGGGAACCCCCCGGTGCCAAGGGGGCAGGGGCACAGCCCAGGAGTGGGCTGGAGTCACGGTGCCCCGAGGGAAGGGCTGGTACCTGCTGGCCCCGCTTTCCCCTTTCTTGTGAGTCAACACCAGTGGAAGGGGCAGAGGGGCAGCCGCCCTGGCACTGCCACTCCCTCGGGCACAGGAGTTCATGACAGCTCTTGGATTCACTGCTGGAGCAGCTGGCAGGGTGCGGGGACAGTCCCAGGGGAGCCTGTCCCAGCACGAGGCTGGCGTGGTGCTGGCCAGGCCACAGTTACTCACCCACTGCCCGTGCCCACTGAGGACTGAACTCACAGGGAGGAATTCCAACGAGAACTCACACTCCTCGGAAGGAATTCCAACCAGAACTCACTCATGGGAAGGAATTCCAACGAGAACTCACTCAGAGGAAGGAATTCCAACCAGAACTCACCCTCATGGGAAGGAATTCCAATAAGAAATTACACTCATGGGAAGGAATTCCAATAAGAACTCACTCCTGGGAAGGAATTCCAATAAAAACTCACACTCATGGGAAGGAATTCCAGTAAGAATTCACACTCATGGGAAGGAATTCCAACTAGAACTCATGCTCACGTGGCAGAATTCCCAACAAGACCCCGCTTGTGGCTGACAGCACAGCAGGGAAGCATCCCTGCCCCACCCAGGGCAGTGCCTGCCCCCAGTGAGGGCACCACAGCCCACCACCCACTCTCAGGTCCAGGACAGGGTGAGGGAGATTTCCCCTCCTCTCCAGCACAGGGCTTGGCCACTGGCTCCCCATCACCCCCAGGATCGAGGGGTTTTGGGGACTCCCAGGAGCTCAAATGAGATGAGGCAAAAGCTGGTTGTACAAAAGGATTGATTTATAGAATACAAAAAATTAGGGGGTGTCTCAGTCTCCAAAGTGCCATGAGGCAGAGCAAGGAGGTGGCTCCACGTGCTGAGGGAGCAGCCCTCCAGCAGCTGCAGTGACAGGGGCCATCCCAGCCCCCCAGAGCAGCAGGGACATCCCGGGGCTCCTCAGGGACCCCCCTGGTCACAGAGCAGCGATGGCCTTGGCGGCGACACGGCGACCCAGGGGCAGGCTGAGGTCAGTGATGGCCAGGACAATTTTGGGACTGGACATGGTGGACACCTTCACCAGCTCAGAAACCTGCCCAGGGACAGAGGAGAAGCACAGGTGAGTGTCACCAGGAGCCTGGGATGTGGCCATCCTGTGGGACCTGGGGCACTCCCCAGGCAGGGACAGGGGTGTGACACTGCTGGACCCACCATGGTGAAGGGCATGAACTGCAGGATGCTCCCACGGCTGCCCTGCTCCAGGCACTCCACACACTCCTCCATGAACCACTGGACAAACTGGGTGTGGGTGCCAGCTGTCTTGGCCCCCAGGATGGAAGAGATGAGCAGGAAGAGGTTTGCTGTGGGGACAGGGAGAGAACAACAGTCAGGTCACTTCTGGGAGGCTGCAGCTGGCCTGAGGTTCCCACTGGTGTCCCAGTGGTTGGCTGTGACCCCACAGCCATCCCCACCTTACCCAGCACCCGGTTCAGAGGGTCCCTCATGCTGACAGTGTGGAGCTGGGAGGCAGAGAGTGAGCTGCTCATGGAGCGATCTGTGGGCAGGAGCAGAGTCAGAACAGCCTCAGGGCCCCCCTGGCTGAGCCAATGTGCCCACGCTGGCCAGCTCTGGCCACTCGAGGTCACCCAGCTCTGGGAGGGGCTTTGTGGAGCAGAAGAGGTTTAGGCCCCCTGTACCAAACAGTCTGTGCCAGTGGGGCACCCCAGAAACAGCACAGAGGGTCTCTGCCCCATCCCTGTCCCCTCTGCCAGCCCACACGGAGCCCAGGCAGGTTTCCCACGCTGCTTTTGGGGTGTGACACTTGGTGTCACCACCAGGAGCAGGGAACAGCAGCGACACACACGTTACACATCCTGTGTGTGAGCCAGATGTTCCACAGCTGCTGCACAGCAGCCCTCCCACCCCACTGTCAGGGTGCAAGCAGCTATCAGAGCTGAAGCACGGCCAAATCTAGCAGCAAATCCTGGGACAGAGCAGGAGGATTGAGCTGACCCCAGCTGTGAAGCACTGCTGGGCACTCCTGTGGGAAGAACTGGGTCAGGTCTGCTCCAATGGGATGGGAATCCCTTTGGGAAGGCTTCTGTGCACACCCCACAGCCCCTGCCCAAATCTGCAGGATCCACCTTGTGCTGCTCTGAGGATGCTCACCAGAAAAAGAAAGCCCTCCCACACTTTTCTCATGGAATCACATGAGTTACATGGTGGCTGCAGGAAGCAGCATTTCCACATCACTGCAGCAAATAGCCCAAAAAAGTCCTGAATGTCACTGGGAAGAGGTGGGACTGCCTCAGGAGGTAAAAGAAGATAAGTGAAATAAAGGGAAAAGCCCATATTTCAACAGTAATGAAACCAACTGAAACTGAAGGTCAATGGATGTGTCGAAAACTAATATATAGAGTAATTTGGGATAAAGGGAGAAACAATGACCTGAGAATGTCCTGACTCACTGCCCAGGAGCGTGGACAATGTATGTGGGAACTGTGACAGCACCCAGGGCAGGACATGGACCCCCCCAGCAAATCCCCCACTGGAGCTGTTGCAACCCGTGACACTGCAGGGACATGATGTGACATGATGTGAGCAGGGCCCTCATCTGCTCTGCCTCAGTCTTGTTAACAGCCCTGGAATGTCAGGATCTGGCCCCAGACACCAGGAATGTCACTCCAGCTGTGGTCCCATGAGGGGTGGCTGGAGGGACACAAAGCCCCCCATAGCCCCTAGGGTGTGGGGCACTGGCATGAAAGGAAAGGGTGATGTCACCCTTTTAAGTTGTTCTGATCAGAGAAATAAAGAAACTGACTTTTCCCAAATGCAAAAACTCCAAGATAACTCAAAAACCACTTGAGAGCTCTAAACCGTCACCCGGCCAGTTTGGGAAGGGAAGGGGTTTTCTGCAAATACACATTTCACACCCAAAAGGGGCAGGGAGCCAAGGGAGCCATCCCCCCTCCCCTCCTGCACTTACTGGGGCTGGAGAGGATGTTGGAATCCTCCTCGTTGGAGCTCAGCAGCCGCATGAGCTTGGAGGGCTGTGTGTCATCCAGTGGGAACAGGCTGATGTAATCCTGGGGGGAGAGGGGGGTCAGCCCCACCAGCCCCTCACCCTGAGCAGGGCTGGTCACCCACCCCGGGCTCTGCACAGCCCCACAGCCCAGGATCTCTGGTCAGCCAGAGCACCCCAGCCCAGGCTGGGCACATGCTGAGCAGCTCATCACAGCCCTTTGACCAGAAAAGAGAAGGGAAAATCCTGAATTTTAAGGTGGGAAAGCCTCAGAGAACCCAGAAAAGCTGCGCAGGGAGTCTGGCTTTACCCACCCACTCCCACCACCCTCACCTTCCCCAGCCACTGCTGCTGTTGGGCACAGAGAGCCCCCAGGCAGCCCCTGCTCCACCCAGACACACCTCGATGTCCTCACGGTGCCTCTTCTTCTGCCTGGCTGAGGCCTGGACCTTGCTGTGGGAGGAGTAGGAGCTCAGGGCACACCAAACAGAGAGCCTGGAGACAGAGCAGGGACAGAGCCAGGTGCTGCCAGCCCACCTGACAGCAGGGTGTGGGACACAGCAGCTTCCTCCTCCTCAGGGGACAGCAGGGAATGTGGATCAGAGTGGGAACTGCTGGCACTGCCAAAGCCAGAGTGGGATTTGGGTAGCTGGGATCCTCATCCCAGCACAGATCACCTCCCCAAACATGCCTCGAGGAGGGAATCTCCATTGCTCTGGGGTCTTACTTGGCCAGGGCCTTCCCAGGGGGGTCCATGAGGGTGTGCCACTTGGAGGAGTCTGTCAGCAGGTTGGGCAGGATGTGGCCCAGCAGTGTCAGCGTCAGCTGGTGCATGTCCAGGCAGAAGATGGCATAGAGCAGCTCCACAGCCCTCAGCGTGTGCTCCTTCCGTGTCTCCTTCAGCAGCTCCTGCAGGGTGGAGGGGAGAGGTGGCCCTGCCCCACTCCCCTCCAGGGCCAGAACTGTCCCAGCACCCAGCCCAGGCACTGCCAGGACACTGGGAACACAAACTAAACCCACCATTCCTGTCCTCAGCACCCTGCCCAGCACTAGGGGTCCTTCCTGCCCCCTCATACCTTGACCAGGTTGTTGCAGAACCAGTAGACCCCCCCCATGTGCAGCAGGGTGTCGAAGATGTGGATGGAGCGGCTGTCGACCCAGCCCTTCTCCAGCACCTTGGTGAACACGCTGGTCAGCACCTCCTTGATGGGCTTCTTGGGGGGCAGAAGATTCCAGTAGGGAATGGTGTCCATGCCAGTGGAGGGGAACTTGATCTGCGTGGCCGTTTGCTGCAGGATGTCCGCGCACATGTGCTCCAAGATGGAGCTCATGATCACCACGCTGGGACAGAGATGGCAGCAGTGGGCACAGGGAAGGGACAGCAGGGCACAGAGACAGAGAATGGCACGGCACTGGGAAGGGACAGCAGGGCACAGAGACAGAGAATGGCACAGCACTGGGAAGGGACAGCAGGGCACAGAGAATGGCATGGCACTGGGAAGGGACAGCAGGGCACAGAGACAGAATGGCACAGCATTGGGAAAGGATAATGGGGCAGAGAATGGCATGGCACTGGGAAGGGATAGTAGGGCAGAGAATGGCATGGCACTGGGAAGGGACAGCAGGGCACAGAGACAGAGAATGGCATGGCACTGGGAAGAGACAGTGGGGCAGAGAATGGCATGGCACTGGGAAACAGAAACATGGAAGATGGCATGGCACTGGGAAGAGGAAGAAGGGCAGGAGAAACGGCACTGGAAAGTGGAATCGGGGCAGGAGGCCACGGCCCTGGGAAGCAGAAGCAGGGCAGGAGATGGCACAGAATGAGGAAGTGGGAAAGCAGAAGCAGGGCAGGAGAAGTGGCACTGGGAGCCAGCAGCAGGCCCGTGGCCCCGCTCACCGCTCGTTGTAGAACTGCAGTGTGCTCTCCCCGTACAGGGGGGTGGCCAGCTGCCGGATCATCTGCAGGGACTTCTCCCTCTCATCCAGGCCCAGCATGCGGACGTGGGCCACCAGCCAGGCCACGGCACACACTGCCATGCTGCACACCTTCCCCTTGATGTTCTCCGTGATTTTCTGGGAGAGGAGACAGCAGAGGATGAGCACAGCCAGGGGGATGTGCAGCCATCACCTCCTAGGGCTGTGGGTCCCCACTGCAGGGTCCCAGCCCTTCTCTCCTCCATGGGTGACACTGCCCCTGCCACGCCCAGGGCAGTTTAGAGCAGGAACAAGGGGCTGGAGCCACATCAGTTTCCCACTTCCAAGCCTCAGCAAGCTCCAAGGCAGCTGCCAGAGCAATCAGGGCAGGAGAACAGGGTACCCCAGAGCTTCTGGACTCTTGATTCCTCCTCAGGACACAGCACAGCTCCACTCTGCCCCCCAGCAGCCCCACCTGGATCGACTCAGAGGTGAGGACTCCATTCTCCCAGGCATTGAGGATCTCCAGTATGGCAGCTGAGATGCTCAGACACACCTCGTGCCACTTCATCTGCCTGTTGGGGAGAGATGGGGATTCAGACACAGCTGTGGGGCCAGGGGAGCTGGGCTGGGGGCTACCCCCAGACCCGGCAGGGTGGTGGGCACATGGGTGGGCTCTTACACCAGCTTCATCTCGGAGGAGTTGTTGAGGAGGGCAACCAGGGACTCCACCTTGGTGGAATCCGGGCGGAAGCAGGGGTGGTCAGGGTTGAGGATCTTCCCCTCCTCGGGCATGCAGGTCAGCATCCAGGTCTCAAAGAAGGGCACCTCGCCTGGAGGGTTGGAATCTGATAGGATCACCTGGAAAGGAACCAACACGGGGTCTGCATCCCACAGAGAGACCAGGATCACCTGGAAAGGAACCAATGCGGGGTCTGCATCCCACAGAGAGACCCTGCAGGGGACCCCCACCCTGGGTCTGTCCCTCACGCTGGGGTCTGTCCCCACCCTGGGTCTGTCCCCACCCTGGGTCTGTTCCCACCTTGGGTCTGCCCCCCACCCTGGGTCTGTCCCCACCCTGGGGTGCTCATGGCCGTGGGAACAGCGCCGCCCGGTGGCCTGGAGGGACAGGCAGGCACTGGTCAGGCCCCAGCAGGGCACTGGTCAGGCCCTCCCAGGCACTGGTTTCCCTTCTGTGGGTTGTGGTTTCCCCCAATACCAGGGTGCTCCTCAGCAGAACACAGCCCAGCTCAGAGGAGAGATGCCAGGCAAGCTGTGAGTGTCACAGTGTCACAGTGTCACAGTGTCCAGCTCAAACAAGTCCCTTGTTCCCCCACCCTGCCAAGCCCTGCAGAGGGTCCCTGGGGCTGGGGTCACACAGCCCAGCTGGGAGGGTCCTGTGGGGGCCATGAGCTGGGAGCCCCACACGTCACTTCCTCCCCTCAGCCTGTGTCACCCAGGGGACACTATTTTTGTCCAAAAAAGTTTCACACATCTGCTCAGCAGCAGCTGGGCAGGAAAGCTGCTGGGCTGGGAGGGGGGGAGGATGAGATCTCATTGGACAGCCCTGGGCACGTCCATCCCTGCCTGGTCCCCCCTCCCTGCTCCCAGGGCCAGCTGGGCAGGACCCTGCTCTCCCCCTCTGTGCATTCCCAGTGTTTCGCTATCGTTTCGCCTCCCAGCACACACAGATGTCGAAACCTGGAACATTTTCATGAAACCAAAGTGCAGTTTCCTGAGCAGGGCTGGGAGTTCCTCCTTGGACGGGGAGGGCTGGCACTGCCTTGGCCATGCAACCCCCCCAGCCAACCAGTGCCAAACTGGAGGGGCAAACTGGGAGCAGTGTGGTGAGCTTCAATTGGAAGCAGCATTCCCACTGATCCCACCACCCACCCAAGTCCTCAGGGAGGTGACAGCCAGTCCTGCTCCATCACCTGGCACCCAGAGAGCCCCAGGGACAGATTTGCAGGTGACAGGCACTGGGTGCTGTGCCCTGGGCTATGAAGTGGCTGCAGGGACAGGAGGGACAGTGGCAGATTGGCCACTAGAGGAGGCTGATAGGCTGCAGCAGCACAGGGGCTGAGCTGGCAGGTTTGAGAGCTCCTCTTAGGATACAGACTCATCCTTCCCCTCCCTCACAGGATCCAGTCCCACCCTCTCATCATCCCTGAGGACCCTTACCTCTGAGCCATAGGTCTGGGCCACATGGCACAGCATGAGGAAGGAGATGTCAAAAAGCAGAGCCCGGACTGGGCCACTCTTGGCTGAAGGAGGAGAAATAAAGACCTTGGGGCTCTCTGGCCTCAGCAGGAGGAGGGAAGCAGAACCCCACAAACACGGGGGCTGGGACCCTGCTTCCCCACACAGAGTTTCTAACCCCCCAGTGCGAACAAAAGGATGTTCCAAGTGCCTCCTTCCACCTCATTTGCCTCTGCCTGAGCCCCCAGAGCAGCTCTGGCCTCCCTCTGGGCAGCCCCAGCCCAAGCAGGGCCCCCCCTCACCATGGAAGGTCAGAGCACTCTGCAAGTTTCATCACACGGAGTCAGAGTCCTTATCTGGGCTGTGCTGACACATCACCCCTTCCAGGGAGGGAGCCAAGGGGCCCCCAGGCTCAGCAGGGGAGAGGGAGCTCAAGGGAACACCCCAGATTTGGGATGGACACGCACATGAAGGCAGCGTGGCCCCAGGAGCCCAGATCCCTGCTGGCACAGAGCCCCCTCCCTGCCAGCCCCCCAGCCTGGCCTGGCACAGCTCAGCTTGCTCTGGTGCCACAGCCAGTCCCAGTTTAATCCAGGCAGGCCCCAGAACATCCCAGCAGGGGCAGCAGGGGGGCACAGCTCCAATCTCCCCACGCACGGACGAACACGCACTCACAGATTTCCCCGGTGATTTGCTTGGTGAATTCATTCAGCCTGGAGGGGCAGAGAGTGGCAGCAAAGCATGAGCAGGCCAACCAGACAATTCCCAGCCCTGACACAAGCAGGGGGCTGCCTGGCATGCAGATCCCACCCCCAAACTCCAGCCCAGCACAGAGGGCCAGGAGATGCAAGGCCCAGCTCTGCAGACACCCCCCAGCACCACAGGGACAAGTCACCTCCTCCCTGTGTCTGCTCCCTGTGGCCACACAGGTCCAGCCAAGCTGCTCACCCCACACCAATGGGCTCTCCCCAGAGCCAGCTCTGTGGGTGTTTCAGAGCACAGACCCCCAAACAGACCCCCCATACACCCCAAGGCTGGTCCAGCCACCTTGGGGGAGCCCATCACACAGCCCCATATGTGTGCTGGTGTGTCTGCAGAAGGCAGGGACACACTGCCCTGGATTCAGGGCTTGGCCACAGCTTTCAGTGTTCTGAACCCCCCCCAAACAAACCTGGCTCCAATTCTCTGTCCTGTTCATGCAGAGGCAAAGATGGGGTGCTGTGGGGTGCACATCCCTGAGATCCCAGCCCTCCCCAGTGCTCCACAGGGCCACAGGCACATCCAGCCCTGTCTAGGAGGCACTTTAGGGGGCTGCCTGTCCCCCCCAGCCCCCTGGTCACCAGTGACAGTGCCACCCAGCTGGACACTCACTTGACAAACTTCCGAGCGAAGGATTTCAGCTTCCCAGTGGCTGCTGCTGCTGCCAGCAGCAAGTCCAGGCTCTTCCCAGACAGCATGTGACCCAGGACCCCCAGAAGGCCCTCAGGGGACTTGGAGTGATCTGCATCCATGGTCTACATGCAAAAAAGTAAGAGGAAATGGAAGTCATGGGGAATGTGTGCTACAGAGCAGCAGCAAACTCCAGTTTTTGGGGTACAGAGTTGATCAGCTGCAAGAACTGTCCCTGAGACCTTGAGGAGCAGGGACCTGCTGGATTTGGGAGAGGTGGCATGGGGACCTCTGAGCCCCTGCCACCAGCAGGAAAACATCCCCTGTCACTCAGTAGCATCAAAATAACCAGAGTGACACAGGGACATGGGGAGTCCCCAGGGAACAGGGGAGATGCACACAGAGAGCAGCTGAGCAGGACGGGCAGAGCTGGCTGGGCTCAGGCTGCTAGCACTGATGACATGCCACCTGACAGCTCCTCCAGCTTCCTGGGAAGGAGGAGGGCAGCTCCTCATCTCCACAACAGAGCAGCAAGGCTTGAGTGATTCCTCCATTACTCCACCCCAGGGCAGGGAGAAATCCAGCGCCTCCCAACCACCCTGGCTGCCTGGTTAGACTGATGCTGCTGGCAAAGGGCTCCAGGCCTGAGCCCTGCCAGCCCAGCATGGCTGCAGGAGGACACTGACCTTCAGGATGTTGGTGACAGTGGGCTCAGCCCTCAGCATGAGCCCTGCCAGCCCAGCATGGCTGCAGGAGGACACTGACCTTCAGGATGTTGGTGACAGTGGGCTCAGCCCTCAGGATGAGCCCAGGGTTTGGCTGGATGTTGGCGTTCTCAGCCGATTTCAGGGATGGAGAGTTTTCCTTGTCTGCAGCCCTGGGGGACCCCAAAGAAGGGTCAGTGTGTAGGAATCCATCACCCTGCCTCCCTCCCTCCACCCAGTGGCACCCTCAAGGGACAGCCACTGCCTCAGGCCACCACCAGCTGCCTCTCTGAGGGGACAAATTCTGCCTGTACCCAACCTGTCCCAAAAGCAGCATCCCATCCCCCAGGCCACCATGTATGTCCCAGCTGCAGTCTCTGTGTCAGCACAGCTGCTCCCTCCTGCTCCCCCCAAAACCAGGTGCTCCAGCCCCACTGGTGGGGGTTTCCCAGACTCTGGGGTGGCTGTACCGTTTGTCGATGAGGTTGTTCATGTTGGCCTCGGAGAGCAGCCCCTGCTTGCTGCACTCCTGCAGGAGCAGGCTCATGCAGTTACAGCTGGAAGAGAGAGGAGAGCTGTAGCCCCAAGGACAGCATTCCTGTCACCCCAGACAGTGCCACAGGGCAGGGGGACTCATGAGCTGCCCTCTTGGCCCTGTCCCATCCCTCTGAGGGTGCTGCAGGGTCCAGAGCAGCTCTGGGTGCCACACACGTGACTCACTGCCTCACTCATGTGGCAGCAGCAGCTCCTCAGGAAGAAGAAATGGGATCAGAAACTAAGCCAGCCCTGCCAGGAGCTGCCCCAGCACCCCACACAGAGGACAGGGTGGTTGTGGCACGTGGCTACGTGGCAGCTGTGGCCATGGTGAGCACTCACTTGCAGCGCTGGTCGGCTTTGTCGAGCAGAGGGGTCAGCTTCAGCAGGAACTCAAAGGCACTGTTCACATCCTCAGTGAAATCCTGGCAAACACAAAGCCAGGCACTCAGCTCACCACGCTACTGGCACAGGCCACCTCCCCTGTCCCCACCTGCTCCATCAGGGAAGGTTTTTGGGACAGGGAACATTTTCCTGTGCAGGCCAGGCACAGCACCATCAGTCTCACCTTGTCCCCTTGGGGGTATTTCTTGAGTTTAACCAGCACTTGGGGCATCTGAAAGACACAGGGGACAAAGTGACATGAGGGCAGACCCCATTCCACAGCTGGGACCTCCCAGCAGCACCAGCCCACACCAGCACAGCTGCACACAGCTGCTCTCCCAGCCCCAGGAAAGCAGCACTTCTGGAGCAGTGTGTGCACCCAGGGGACTTTGTGCCCCTGCTCCCCTCTGCAGTGTCCTTCCACCATCACCTGCAGCCACATTTCCCCCATAACATCTCAGGAAAACTCACTCTGCCACACAAAATGAGGCTGGGCTGAAAGGAGGCCCCTGACAGCAAAGTTGATGCTCAGAGGGTGACAGGAGGGCTGGAGTGGGCTCAGGTGGGATGGACCCCAAGGGGTACATAGTGGGGACTGGGGGGCATACTGTGGGGTGTGAGACACCCTAAGGGGCACATTTTGGGGTGTGGGGGTAGCCCAAGGGGAATTCTGGGTGGGTGAGGGGCACACTGTGGGGTGGGGGACACCTCAAGGGGCACACTGTGGGGTGTGGGCACCCCAAGGGGCACACTGCAAGAAAGAAGGATTGATTGCTCCGGCAGAGCTCAGGGCTCAGGAGCCAGGCCTGCAGGGAAAGGGCAGAAGGGCAGGGACTCAGTGCTGGGGCTGGGCCCTACCTTCAGGAAGGTGAAGGCTGTCCACTTGAGCTCCTCTGTGCCCTCAGGACACTCGATGAGGCCCACAAAACAAGCCTTCCAGATCTCCAGCACGAAGAGAGGGGAGGGGATGCGCTGTGGGGCACACACACAAACCCTCCCAGTGCTGGGCTGGCAGCAAAGCACATCCCCCAACACAGCCAAACCCCTGCTGAGGTGTTGATGGGCTCCTGCTGCTCCCCTGGAGCAGGACCAGCACACGGAAGGCACATGGCCTGGCCCCACAGCCTCAGACTGCCTGAGCAGAGCAGAGCACACTGTCACTTCTGTACCTGCATCCTCTTCACCATCATCAGCTGCTCCACCAGTGGCTGGGTCTCTCCTGTGAGGTTCATGGTGCCCTCCAGCAGCACCACGGCGTGCACGGTGGGGAAGCCTGTCTTGTTCAGCTGCTCTGAGTGGACTGAGAGCATGGTGGGGATGCTGGGTGGAAGAGGACAGCCCAGGGTCACTGGAGCCCTGCAGGGACAGATTCCTGCTCCTCCTGTCCCACTCCCATTCCCTGGCCAAACCCCTGACCTTTGCTGCCCCGGGGCAGGACACTGAACACCTGTGCCTGGGAGCTCCAAGGCACAGCCAAGCCCTCAGGCCCTGGGAGCAATTTCAGGGGGATCCAGAGCAGGGACAGCAGCCCTGGTGTGGCCAGAACAGCTGAGGGATAGTAAAAGGTCTCAAGGTCACCAGAAGAGCAACCCCTGGGTAAGATTCTTCTGCAACAAGTCACTATGAACTCTGGGCAGCCCCTGCTGGAGCAGGGATCAGAGATGGGAATGGACAGGGAAGCAGGGAGGCAGGAGCCTCTCAGTCCTCCGAGCAGGGAGTTTGGGGGACTCAGAGTGAGGCTCAGACCCATTTTTCCCCCTGAGCCCGTGGGGCAGCAGCACACAGCCACCTTTTGATGAGGGACACGCAGTTATCAGCCTGGCTCCGCAGCGGGGAGCTGCCAAGGTTGTTCAGGTTCTCTCCCAGCTTGACGAGGGACTGCTCCACGGTGCTCCAGGAGGCTGGGGAGGGAAGGCAGGGATTCAGTGAGGGGACAGTGGCATCTGGGGAAACCAGGCAGGCCAGCTCCAAGGCCTACAGCAACCCACACAGGCTGAAGAGGCTGGGAGTCCTCACTGGTGATGCAAACCCAACGCAGGGGTCTGTGTAGTCCCAGCAGGCCCCACCCCAAGGCCAGCCTGGCACAGCCTCCAGGCCAGACACAGACACAGAAGAAGGCGTGGGGCTGTGCCAGGCTGTCAGAGCACAGCACTCCCCATGCACCCAGGAACAGCTCCCGCAGCCTTCACATTAATTCTGCTCCTCTTCCAAAGGCAGCACGCAGGGGAGGGGGCAGAGAGTGGCACAGAGCCAGGGAGGAGACGGTTACAGCAACAGGGCTGGAAGATGGATAGGCTTGGAGCCGCAGGGACAATGCGGCAGGAGCCGGGCAGGGGGAAGGGAGAGGTGGCAATGACATCTCTCCAGGGCCAGCACGCAGGGGCAGGGACATACATGTCTCCTCCAGCTTGGCAATGTGGATCAGGGCACGGTTCTTGGTGCTGCTGAGCATCTTCTCCAGCCTCTCCAGGCACATCTTCAGCTGGTTCTCCGCCGCCGCCTGCTCCAGCGGCTCCTTCACCTTCTCGGCATAGAAGGTGGCGCAGCGCAGCAGCCAGGTGAGGGCACTCAGCAGTGCCCTGCACAGGCTGATGCACTCCTCGGCCTTGCCGTGGCAGCTGGCACAGGAGACAAGTGGGGATATGCTCACTGTGTGTGTGGAAACTGAGGCACGGACACTGGGTAGGCTGGGGAAGCCAAATGCAGGTCCTGTGTTCCCAGCCCACTCCTGTGCTGCTCATCCCACCAGCATTCCCATTGTGCCAGGGGGAAGGAGACACCCCCACCCCCTCCCCACGCAGCCTCCTTGCTGGCCTCTCCACTACAGGGAAACTTTCCAAGCTTTTAATCAAATTATCTTGCTAAGGGAGGCTCAGCATTGATCAGTGCACTGTGAGAGGTGAACGCTTTCCCCTCCTGATGCACAAATCATGGGGGCCAGAAGTTTTGATCAAATTAAGCAGAGGATCAGAGCAGGCAGGAGTGGATTAAGGGCCGGCTCTGCAGTTGGCCAGCAACAGCTCCTTGTCAACATCTGCCACTGATGCATATTCATTGCTGCTGCTTCATTTCATCTCACTGAAGAGCCTTCCTCATCCTCCTTCTCCTCCCACTGTCCCTGCCACATGCTCCTGCCTCCCAGAAGAGGCTGTCAGGGGTTAACAGGAAGATTTCTGAGCTTTCTAAAAAAGTTTTTGTGGCCTGAATTGTCTGGACTCCCCTGGGCCCTGCAACACCAGCGGAAGAGCATAAAGGAAAAAAACAAGGCAGTGCCTGGGGCAGCACAGGCAGGACCAGACTGGGACACACAGCTGGGGCCTGGGAAGGTGCAGAGGGAAAGGAAATAGAGACCCTTGGACCATGGGTCTCACACCCACCCCATCCAGCTGAACTGGGAAGGAAAACCACGGTGAGGTTTATCCCAGAATAGGGGGTGGTTCTGGCAGCTTCCCACAAAGCTGGTGGGGTTTGGATTCTCTTTGCTGTCCCTGTGCTGGCACTCATGAGGCAGCAACTTGGTAATGGACACAGAGCTGGAGAGGGAACCTCCCTTCCTCTGCCAGGGTGAGTATTCTGGGATCAGACAGGACCCCCAGGCTCTGCTGGCTCCTGGTTCTGCCCATGGCACAGCCAGGGCAGAGATGGCAGTGCCGGAACACCACACAGTACCTGAGGCGGTCACAGAACATGTCCATGATCTCCAAGAGCGACTGGACACACAAATCCCGGGAGAAGTCATCGAACTAGAGCAGAACACAGAGAGGCTTCAGACGGGGACTGCTCCGGCAGCTCTACACAAGCTCAAGCCCTCCCTCCAGGGCCGGGCCAGGCTCTGCGGCCACAGGACACTCCCCCTGGCAGCTGCCCAGAAGCCACTTGAATGAGAAGTAGGTCAGGGCTGTCTGTCGGCCAGGTCGTGCCCTCCCGGGGTGGCGAGAGGCGGTGGGACAGCGGCAGCAGGGCCGGGGCTGGGTTTTCTCCGCAGCCTCAGGCCGGGGCTGCGGCGGCGGGGGTGGCTGGACGCCAAGCCCCCTGCCCACCCCCGGCTCGGTGGGGCTGGCAGCGCCAGCAGCCCGGCCGGCCGCGGGGCTGGGGGCGGGGGGCAGCAGAAGCGCGGCCCCCCCGCCTCCTCCCGGAGCAGATGGGGAGCCCCGCCGGGCCGGAGCTTGCCCGCAGCTCCGCGCTGGGCCCACGCTGCGCTGAAGGAGGAAGGCTCGGCTGTCAAGGTCAGCGCTGTGCCCGCCCCTCCGAAAACAGGCAACGAGCCCGAGCCCTTCGGAACAGAGCTGGGCTGGGCTCTACCCTCCCCCCAGATCGGCGCTGGGACCACTGGAGGGGTCCCCACCTCGCCAGGGCTTCACAGCACAACTCCAAGCTCAGCCTGCAGTCCCCCAAAATTTTCAACGCTGACTGCCAGCGAAGTTCTCCTCCCATCCCCTTAACAACAACAAGGTGGGAGAAAAGAAATTATTCTCCCTGAAATCATCCCTCCTTTGGTCACCCTGAGTAGGGGGCCTGACAAGGAGGAGCATGGGGGGGTCAGTCATAGCCTGTGAGGGGCTTCCCAACACCAAGCAGAGGCAGCCATGGAGGGTGCTCAGTGTCCCCATGGAAGCAGCACAGGGACACAGAGCACCCGAGCGTGGTGTGTGGCTGCAGCTCCTGCAGGGCCAGCTCTGATCCCCACAGCGCTGCCAGCACCGCCGGCCGCAGCGGGATGTGGTTTCCGGCGCTTGGGATGGGGTTACACACAGGCCGGGAGCCTGCCAGACCCCCCAGGGCACAGGGACAAGGCACTCACACCCCCAAAAACCCACTGGGACCCAGAGCAGCCCATCCCCAGGGGGCCACAGAAAGGCTCGGGCGCTAATCTGCGCCGGCTGCCCACTGCTGACTCAGCCCAGGATGTCGCTTTCCACTTGACCTATATTTGGCGGGAGCTGCGGGGAGGGAAAGGGATTTGTGGGGTTGTGGGTGAAGAGTGAAACCTCTGAGAGCACCTGTCAGAGCCCTACCTTGCTGATGGCCATCAGCACCGTGGAATAGGACACCATCTAGGAGAGAGAAAGCCAAAACAAGCGCGGTGCTCACGGGGGCTGAGCGCCGGCGCCGCGCTCGTTGCCGAGGAACGGCAAGGTCAGGGCACGGCCCCGCTGCTGTCACCGCAGACGGGGCCGGGGCCGGGGCGCTGACCCGGCACAAATCCAAACAGACATTTTTAGGTGATGGCTGATGCGTTTCACACAAACTTTGGGCGATATTAAATGCCAGGATGCGAAAGCGTGGAGCTCACGGCGAGTGCAGAGCCTCTCAGGGGGCAGAATTCCCACCCTGGGCGATGGCAGAGGCTATTTATGGAAACACCCCTGCCCAGGGCACGTGCTGAGCCCTCCACTGCCTGCCCCGGCCCCAGAGAGGCTCACATGGGGGTTTTGGGGTGTCTGCCCAGCCCAGGAGGGGCTCACATGGGGGGTCTGGGATGTCTGCCCAGCCCAGGAGAGGGTCACATGGGGGGTTTGGGGTGTCTGCCCAGCTCAGGAGAGGCTCACATGGGGGATTTGAGGTGCTTGCCCACCACCAACAGCCCAGTTGCTTTGCCCAACCTCACAGAGGCTGCAAGGTGACCCCCAGCAGCAGCAGCAGGTCCTTACCTGGGAGCTGATGGCGTATTTCAGGTAGGACAAGATGAGTGGGTTTGGGGATGGCCCAATCATGGCCTGCTCCAGGAGAGCCTCTGCAAGGGAAGAGGGTCCCAGGTCAGCACACGGGGACACACAGACACACTCTGTCCTCCCCTCATCCCACAGGGAAGCTGGCAAAGCCCAACTGTACCAACCACAGAGACTCCAAACCAGTTTTCTCCTAAAGTCACTGAATCCCACAACTTTCTAACCCCTGACAGGCACAAGGCAGTGAATAGTTAGGCAGAGCTTGCAGCCTCCTGCTAACATGGCTCTCCCTGGGTGCTCCAGCCCCGAAACTGCTGCTCTCCACATTCCCCTCCCTCCCACTTCTTGCCAGGAGGCTCCTGCAGCCTCCACTGAGTGTCTTTCACCCAGGCACCTGGGGCTGAGCTTGGGGCCACCAGTCCCCTGCACCGGGTGCAGCCCTGCCTGTCTGGCCCTCGGTGGCCCGAGGGGCTCTGCCCGTCCCATCTGCTCAGCCAAGCCTTTAATTGCCCATTTGAACCATGGCAGAGTGCAGGAAGCACCTCCCCGAGCAGGCCCCGGGCTGCAGAGCAGGCTGCAAGTAGGTCAGAGCACCCAGATGTAAAAGGGGGAGCAGCAGCCGGGTGGGAAGTTGTCACCCCAAAGCCGAGCAGGAGGAGCTGCCGCCAGATCCCGAGCACAGGAGACTCCCTGGGTGTCACTCCAAGGCTGAATCCTGGGCCAGGAGCGTCTGGGATGAGGACAGAAGGCTGGTGGCAGCCGTCCCCTCCCCAGCCCATCCCAGAGTGGCACCACGAGCCAGCCACATGCTGCTCCCCGCTGCAGACGTGTCAGCAGCGATGTGCCAGGCCCTGCCGTGATCCTGGCAGCTCCTGCCAGCTCTCCCTCCTTTGTACTTCCAAGCTGAAAGGCACGAGCTTGGGAAAGGACAGCTCTGGGGGATGTGGTGAGGAAGGGAGCTGCTGCTCCAGCCATCAGGACCTCGGGAATGGGCTCTCCCTGTGTGCACACAATGCTCAGAGTCAGGGCCAGCATCCTGCCCGCGCGGCTCCCAAAAGGAAAAGGGGAGAGGGCTCCTTCTCCTGCTGGCAGAGAAGCTGCCCCAAAGAAGCCACTGAGCTAAATGTGAGCCAGGAGAAACCCATTCCTGCAGAAATAATAGGGAATTATCCCCCCTGCGTCTGTTTTTGGGGGCACACAGATGAGCCCAAGCCAAGCACCCCGCAGGCCTCGCTGCCAGAGGAGCAGGAGCCGGTGCCACCGGGGTGGGGACAGACACCTGGGAGCCACGGGGACCAGCTGGGCAGCAGCAGGACTGGCCCTCGAGCCAAGCACCCCCACCCCCAGCAAATCCACCCAGAGCAAATCCACCTCCCCACGGCCACAGCTCCACGTGGCCCCTCCAGCCACGGCTCGGAGGTGACAAAGCCAGCAGGGACAGCTCAGCAGCGGGGACAGGGCGTGACAAACAACAGACACTGACAGAAAATCCAATGGGAGGATGGAGAGAAGGGGAAAACAGAGATCCCCACACTCAGAGGAGCAAGAGCTGCTGCCTGTGTGGGGCTGGTTCCTTTAAACCCCCTGGAGCAGCAGCTCTGTTTGTTTATCCCGGGACTTGCTGCACAGGGAAAATCCCAGCACCAAGTTTCTATAATTAGCAGGAGAGCCTGGCAAATCTTTAAACCAGTCCTAGCCTTTGGCAGGATTTCTGTGAAATGCCCTTGGATTGGGCTGGGAAGCAGCCTTGGGAGCAGCACCTGGCTCCTGTGCAGTGCTGGGATCAGGAAATCAGGGAATCATTAAGGCTGGAAAGACCTCCAAGAGCATCTCAGCACAACCCAAATCCCCTGGAGCCACATCCACATGGTAACTCCACCACAGCCTGTTCCAACGCCTAACCACCCCTTCAATGAAGAAATTTCTCCTCATTTCCAACTTAATTCCCTCCTGGCTCAACTCGAAGCTGCTTCTCTTGTCCCAAAAGCTGAGCTGACCCCTGAACCCTCCCACGGGGAAAAAGGAGGGAATGATCCCAAAACGGAGCAGGCAGGGTGGGAAAGGATCAGGAGGGACAGATGGGAATGGGCTGGCACGGTTGGGAATGGGAATTTTGGCATGAAAATCAGTGTGGGGAAGGGGGGAATGAGTCCAAAATGCAACAGGGACCCCCACAACACCCCTGTCTGCACCCCAAAGTGGGGAACACTGGGGCCAACACCCAAACACACGCGTGGGGACCCCCAAACCAGCCCAGCGTGCCCAGCAAGGAGGGGGAACCCCCCGACCTGCCAAGTTGAGGATGTCCCAGGTGGCTCCGCGGGGGAAGAACCGCTTCATGTTTATGGCCCATTGGTAGTCGCTCCAGCGCTCCTTCCAGGCCTGCAGGATGGCCTGCTTCAGGTTCACCACCTTCATGGTCACCCTGCGGACGGACAGCTCGAGGCGAGGGCGGCGGGGCCCTGACCCGGCCGGGCAGGGCAGAGCAGGCCGGAGACAGCGGGGAAGCGGCCCGGCGGCCTCGGAGAGCCGCAGCTGGGGGCCTGCCCGCTCCCCGGGCCTGGGAGAGCTCGGTGCCGCCCCGGAGCTCCCCAGAGCCGCCGAGGTTCGGTGGCCGCGGGTCTCGCCGGGTCCCGCCGCCCCTCAGCGCGGCCCGGCGCCGCCCTCAGCGCCTGGGCACCGCCATGGCGGCACCTGCCAACAAGCCGCGCGCTGATTGGGCGGCGGGGCGCGGCGGGCGCGGGGGGTGATGGGAGTTGTAGTTCGGAGGGGTAGGGCGGGGGTGAGTGTGCAAAGGGGGGGCGGGAACGGGGGGCGAGTGTGCAAACGCCGGGGGGAGAGTGCAAACACCGTGTGGGTGAGCAGGCGGGGGAGAGCGGGCTAGCACGGGGTGGGTGTGTGTCGAAGCGTGGGGCTGAGTGTGGAAATAGGATTTTACTCAAACGCCGGGGTGAGTGTGCAAATAGGGGGTGTGTGCAAACACGGGGTGAAAATGGGGGGTTGCAAACACGGGTGTGTGCAAGCAGGGGCGGGTGTGCAAATAGAAGGCGTGTGGAAATGTGAGGAGGTGCAAACACGGGGGAGAGTGCAAATGTGGGGCACGTGTGAAAATGAGGAGTCGTGCAAAACCAGAGTGAGTGTGAGAACAGGGGGTGTGCAAACTGGGGGTGAGTGTAAAAACAAGGGATGTGCAAACACGGTGCAGAGGGGTGCGTGTGCAAAGGCTCTGGGGTGGCAGCACGGGTCTCCCAGCGCATCTGAGTGTGCAGGTGTGCAAAGGTGTGCACGCACACATGCAGGTGTGTGCATGCGTGTGGGTGCACAGGAGTGCGTGTGCATGTTCTTGCACGCGTGTGCAGACAGCAGCACCCCCGGGCAGGTGTGCACAGCCAGGTACCACCAGCGCAGGGCCGGGCACACGCGGGTGTGCACGGCCGTGTGCTGCAGAACACGTGTGTGCACACACGTGGCACAGCCATGGGCCTGGGCTGCGCCCCCCCCACCCCCTCCCTGCAGCACCAGCAGCTAAAAATATCCCCAGGGATGGTGCCAGCCGTCGCCATGGCAACGGGAGGATGGGGAGCAAGGCCGGGGGGCAGCCCCCCAGATCTGCCAGCGCCCCCCCTCAGCACCCCCACTGTACAAACCCCCCAGTGTCCCCCCAGCATCTCCAGAACCTGCAACCCCAGCACCCCCCGAACACTCCCAGCCCCCCCAAAACCCTCAGCCCCCCCCAGAACCCACCAGAACCCCCCAAGGCTGAGGGGGTGGCAGCTCAGTCACCCTCTGCCCCCACCCTCCGGGGTTGGGGGGGGGGGCTTCGCGGCCCCTTAATTCCCCGGTTAATCATTCATGGGGCCGGGGCGCAGCAAATCCCCCCCGCGCCGGGGCCGGGATTAGGCGGGCAAGCGGCTGCCCAGCCGGCGAGGGGCCCCGCCAGCGGGGGGGGACACCCCGGCAGCACGGGGGGGTCCCCCCATCCATGAGGAGGGATTTCCTGTGCAGTAGAGGGGGGGCACACTTCCCACAGCTGGCCGGGGAGCAGACAGCACGGGGGTCCCCAGGCAGGAGGGGCTCTGAGGACCCCCCCCAAACGCAGCACCCCCAGACTCGGGGGGCAGGCAGGGGGTGGTGGTGCTGGGGGGGTGTGCTCGAGGTCTCGGCGCCTTGGCAGGGCGCCCCGGCACAGCTGCCTCCGGCCCGGGGCCGAGGGGGGGGCCCGGAAGGGGCTGGGGCCGTTCCCAGCGCCGGGGGCAAGCGAGGGGCGAGCGGGGGCCAGCGTGGGGGGCTTCCCCTTCCCACGGGGGCGGTGGGATGGCTGGGAGCTGCGGTGGCACATCCTGCTGGGGGGCACACGGCTGGTGGCCGGTGTTTGGTGGGGTGTGAAGGATCAGATCCGGGCTGGGGGGACGCCCCCGTGGGGCCCTCCAGACCCCCCAGCTGGTGGTGGGTGCTGCCCCAGGTGCTGGGGATGGAGGTGCTGGGTGTCGTGGCCTTCCTGGGGGTCCTGGGGGTCCACAGCTGATTTGGGGTTATATTTAGTGTCTCTGGCGCAGAGCAGAGGGATGGATTTTGTTGAGCGTGTTTCCATGAGCAGCACAGCCCCTCTAAATCCCAAATCCCCCCAGATCAGGGTCTGCCGCAGGGTTCCCACCCTGCTGGGGCAGTGCAGAGAGATTTGTGATGTCCCTGGGGTCACCTCACGGGGGGCAGTGAGCTGGGGATGAGTGTGAGAGGTGCCTGACCCTGTGCTCCAGAGGGGCCACAGGCAAACTCCAGCCCTGCCTCAGTTTCCCCGCTGGGACGGGGGCTGCCAGGCAGCCTCGGGCGGGGGGATCTGGGGACACGAGGTGGATGCTGAGGTGGCCGAGCCCCACGGGCCGGGGGCAGGCGAGCTCGGCCCCATCCTTATCGCGGGCAGACGGCCGCGGGGGGCCGTGGCCGTGCCGTGTTTGCCGAGGATAAAGTGTACAGAACAGGCGGGGAGGGACGGGGGGGCCGTCACGCTGCTGCTGCCCCGCCAGCCAGGCCGAGGAGGGCCCCAGGGTGACCCAGGCACCAGGGGATCCATGGGGGCTTTGGGGACCACGGGGCTGTGGGGACCAGCGGCAGCAGGAGGTCCGGGGATCCAGCGGGGTCTGTGGGGACACCCACCAGCAGCCCCAGGTGTCACTCTCCTCCATCCCCTGGGTACCCCCACCCGCTGGGGACTCTCATCCCCTGGGGACCACCATCCCTGAGAGCCCCCATCCCCTGGGTACCCTCTCCCCTTGGTACCCCATTTCCTGGGTACCCCATCCCCTTGGTACCCCCATCCCCTGGGTACCCCCCTCCCCTGGGTACCACCATCCCTGGGTACCTCCATTCCCTGGGTATCCTCTCCCCTGGGTGCCCCCATCCCTGGGTACCCTCTCCCCTGGGTACCACATCCCCTAGGTACCACCATCCCTGGGTACCCCCATCCCCTGGGACTCTCATCCCCTGGGTACCCCCATCCCCTGGGTGCCCCCTCCCCTGGGTGCCCCCATCCCTGGGTACCCTCTCCCCTGGGTAACCCTTCCCCTGGGTACCCCATCCCCTGGAGATCCCCGTTCCTCAGGTAGCACTGTCCCCTTGTTGTCCCCGTTCTGAGCAGCCTTGAGAGCCGCTGGGGACCCCCCTTCCCTGGGTGTTGCCTGCGCTCCCCGAGCATGGGAAACCATCCCCTGGGTACACCCTGCCAAGGAAACCTTCATCCCTTAGGGACCCTCCTCTCCCTCATGCCCGGGAGACCCCCATCCCCCCCGATCCCCCCGATCCCCCCATC